GGGCCCCTAGGAAGTGGGAGCCAGGGGGGCCCATTAGTGCCCTCAATTTTTCCCTAGCCGACTTTTTCGGGGCGTCCATTTGGATTTTCTACTCAAATTATTCCTTCCGGCTGCCTGGCCGGCCGGCTGGTTCTTGGAGGCGGAAATTTTGGGGGGAGAACGAGTTTTCCAGGTTGTAAATCCTCGTTCCTCGAATTTTCCCTTCATCAATTTCGTTTTATGTCTATTTGGGTTTGCTGGGCCCGATTTGCTAGGTTGTGGTTCTCAAATTACACCTATTGACGCCCACGAGTGGCGAGTACCAGTTTTTTTTGGGTTACTCGATGCTGATTTTTGATGCCGTTTAACCTCCGAAAATCCGATTTGTGGTTTATTTGATGAGTTTACTGATAGAGAGAGGAAGATAGAGAGAGAGCGACAGAGGGTGAGAGAGAGAGACAGAGACAGTGACAGAACGAGGACGAGAAGGAAAACGAAACCGAGAATGAGAATGAGAGCGAGAACGAGCAAGAAAGAGAGCATGCGGACGAGCAAGAAAGAGAGCATGAGAAAGCAAGTGGGAGAGAGAGAGCAGGCTTTCCCTAATTTTATTTCTCTACAGGAATTTTATGTCTTTTTGTTTTCTATTACTATGTACTAGTGCCTACGCTTGTTTTCCTAAAAGATCTCTGCTATCTTGCCACCCAGATGGCCTACTGACGCTCTGGACGATTCTCCTCATTCCGCAAAGTTTATCTGCCAGCTAGCCCAGAAACATACGCCTTTGAAGCATCTGTTTTTATGGTTTCCAGAATTGTTAAGTCGGATCTTCAGCTTCTCAAGCGATCTCTGCTAGCTCGATCTAGTACACAGTACACCCTCTTTCCGTTTGTTTTCCAGTAATTAGCCCCTGAACCGCGTCTCCAGATGACCTCGAATTTGCCCCCGATTAAGCTATTTTTTCTTGTTTGCAGATTTTCCCCGTGTCTTCCTCCCCCTCCTCCCCAGCTCCGTTCGGCACCAAAAGACAACTGGACCCAAACCCCTGGCAAGGGGGGGATGTAAGAAGAAAGCGGCCGTAATTGCCGGGGCGGCCGCCTCGTCCCACCGGATTTTCCGGGGCGAAAAGAGAATATAACCGCACAGCTTCTGAGCCCCACCCCGGGGAGCTGGAGCTCCCACCAAAATTGGATATCCATTTCTTCTGCTGCTTCCCTGCCCGTTGCTTCGTCTTATTCTTCTTCTTCGGCTTCTTTTGTTTCCAAAGATTCGAGAGAGAGAGAGAGAGAGAGAGAGAGAGAGAGAGGGAGAGAGAGAAAGCAAGCGCTAGGCTGCGACGTCAGAATTTGGCAGGGCCACAGAGAAGTTTAACTCGAAGATCCGGGTCTTTCCAGTTTCTAGAGGTCTTACAGGCGTAATAATCTGGTTTTTCCAATACCTTCCGATGCTCATCTACCGTCTCCAGCTTTTAAGAATTATTGTAAAGGAAGCTTGTCGCCAAACTCAGCATCAATGCTCTCTTTGGTAAGCCTCCGGATTCGTCAGCCCCGACACCTACCGCTTACTAGGTGTAGACAGCTACGTGACGCTCCTAATTACGCCTTTTGTATCTATTTTTCTTCGTCCAAGAAGGTGCTTCCGACAAAACACACGGCGGCTGCGAGGTTTTTAGATTTTAGGTTTCTCATTTTTTTAGATCATTATACCCTCCGAAAAACTGATTCTTCCCCATCTCTAGCGCAGCAAAAAACAATCCATTCCACCCTTTCCTCGAATGCGTCAATCAAATTTTCCGGGCCGATGAAATCATATTCGCAGTTCTGGTCCAATTTCGCCTCGCCTCCCACGCAATGAGATCGATGTATTGATTGGTTCAGAAAAACCTTGAAATTGAGCTCGAATTTACCGAAAAAGAAAGTATTTTTAACCCCGCACTTGACCTTATTTAGGCTCCCCGCTCTAAATATTTACCCAGCGGACATCAAATTTCGGCTCGGGGGCGCAATTTGGGCCCCAGAACAGTCAGAAAAAGAAGGCACCTGTTTTGGTGTGTTTCTAGGACAATGGCCAATGGATTTTTGGGATTTTCAGCTGTCGGTATTTTTCAAAATTAATAGGCTTCATTCGTACTGATTCTGGGAATTATTAAATTTCGCCGAACTCCTGGAAAACGCTCTTCACAACCCTCTTAAAATCTGCATTTTTTTTTTCGAAACTTCTGAACTTAATGCTGGGCTGCGAAACAAGACGATATTAAAACGTCGTTTTAGCGTTAAAAAACCATTTTTTTTTAATTTAACAAAGAAGCCCGCCACAGTTTTAAATGCTTCAAATTTAGAGTTTCGGATTTTGTTGGAATTTTTCGATGGTTTTCGCCACGTTTTTTGATTCTATTTTTTTATTAGCGGAAATTCGACTTTGCTAGATCTCGGCCTACTTTTCTGACTTTTTGGCGCCCTGCCATCCTTCCCAGCTGTTTGTTTCCAAATTCTCGGCTCCAGCTTGAAAATTCTAGCGTCGAAACTCCTTGCTCCTTGCTCTGTGCTTCTTCTCCTTCTTCTTTTTTTGGCTTTTTGGGTACTTCTAGAGGATGTTCTCTTCGGGGGAAGGCCTGCCCTCCGCGCCGTCCCAATCCAGAAGGCATTCAGCCGCCCCTCTGCCCGGCCCATCCGACCGGAAACGAGATTCGACGGCCAGAGTTCCCCTCGCCGAAAATCTCAGAGGATAGCGGCTTTTGACATCTAGGTTTTTTGTTCAGCTGTTGATTTATGCAAATTTAAAGGGATTGACAAGAATGTTGCAAACCGAAGCTTTTCGAAAAATCCCGAATACTAAAAAAATGCCACTTCTAGAAAATTCGCAGTTTCGGTGGAAAATTTCCTTAAAATTTAAAAATAAGAGAGAAAGCTAGCGCTCTCCATTTGATCACGCTACTGCTCTTGCTCCTGCTCGCTTGCTCTCTCTCGCTGTCCCGGGCTCTCGCTTTCTTTCTCTCTCTCCCTATCTCTCTCTCTTTAAACCTCTTCTGCCGACAGCCATTAAACCTATTTCTCAAAAACTCGAGCTCATTTTTCGATCTCTCAAGTAGTCCATTTTTCCTGTTTTTGGGGTAGTAGTTGTTGAGTCACAGAGTCAATATTTCCGATTTTTAGACATTCTCAGGTTCAAAAAATGTCTCTCTCCTCGAAAATGTTAAATTCTATGCCCTATTCAACATTATTTACCCATGTGTTTGCTAGCTCGCTCTCTCCCTTCTCTCTCTCTCTCTCTCTCGCATGTTCTTTCTCTCTCGCTCTCTCTCTCACCGTTACACGAATTTACTATCGTCAAACATCTCCGTAACGTGTCCGGTCGAAAAAGAATCATTATACTCCATAGATCACGTTTTTCTAAGGCAAATATTGGCCAATATTTGACACTCCGACCTTGTGTTGCATTCTATTTTTTGCCCCTTTTCCGATTTTGACGATTTTCTGTGCCCAATTCTGCCGATTCTGCCCAATTCGCAAAACTGGAAATCCCGGGGGCTGTAAATTGTAAACAATTGGCGTCCCTTTCTGGGGGGTTGCCGGTCACGAGCCGCCGTTCAAAAGTGGCCCAATTTATGGGGGGGCAATGTACAGACTTCGCGGGAAAGGACCCAATTTTAGACATTATCTAGAAGACTACGAAAACGTACATTTTACGACAAATTACGCCTGTCCTCTGGACCTAGCAGAATTTTGTATACTTTGCGTGTATTTCGGCTTAATTTTCGGCGCTTCTGATGCTATTCCGCCTTGCTACTACTGACTGCCGTCTTAAGGCGAGAGCGATCGAGCGAGAGAGAGGTAGGGAAAGAGAAAGAGAGAGAGAGAGAGAGAGAGTGAGTGAGCGAGAGAGAAAGCAAATCAATTAGCTCCGGAAATCCGCTTAGAAAATGAGCTTCATAATCTTAAGCCATACTTAAAGGGTTGTCGAAAGCAAAGAGCGGAAGTTGATAAGCGAGTCAGTGACGGAAACTGTTTGAGGTTTTTTGGCTGATGGCATTTGCTGTTTTTTTTGCCTAAGTTACGCTGCTGGTGTAGTTGTTGATCCCAGATTTGAATGATTTCCGGCACGCTCCGTTTGAGTACCAGTTTTAAAGTTTTAAAGGCGAATAATCATTCAATCCGGGGCTATTCCTGTTACTTTTTTGTCTGCTTCTGCCCTCCTACCCTCTGCCATCCTGAATATAATTTTTTGGGTGCGCGTTTTTCCCGTCCTTTCCCATCCGTGTTTGTATCTGGTGTATCAAGGCGAAGCGGCCTGTAATTTGCAGCCATCTGAAGCCATCCCGCAGACCCAATTCCCCGACACTACCCTACAATTTTGTCTTGGGGCCCCACGGGTGATGTGGCTCGGTTTTTGTCCTTTTTAGCGGTTCACGGCCCATAGATTGTAGTTAGAAATTTATAAATTTTGAGATTTCTAAAATTGTTACTCTTCTGGATTTTTTTGGCTCTCGAAATAGCTATGATTTTGCGTTTTTTAGATATAGTACCATTGCTGTCTTGAAAATCTTTTTAAACGCTTAAATTATGCCGTTTTTCGTTCGATTTCTACTTTAAAATGCTGAAAATTATGTTATCTTCTCTTTCCTTTCCCTTTAAAATAGTAAAGTCGCCATCCCGTTTGATTTTTTTGGACTCAAATGACCTCTGCTAGTTCGCCATTTTCCCACTGATAAGTTTATTTCCATGATTCATAGACTTTCATATCGTCAATTTTCTCCAAATTTTTTTCCATAATTTTGATGATTTTTTTAACGATTAGGCGCCCGCCGCCGCCGTCTGGAGCATTTTGCGTTTTGGCACGTCTTCTTCATTTTTTTCTGCTGACAGCCCTCTTCTTTTCTCATTTGTTATCGTTGTTCATTTTCCTCTGTTTCCGTTTTACCGTTTTCATTTCTATATTTGTTTTTATATTTCGAATTTTCGAAGTTATTCAAATTCTCAACAATTTTGTATTCCAGAATACTCACCCAACTCCTCGCCAAGTTGATGCCGTACGATGAGGAGCTGGTGCGCCTCAACAATGGTGACGGGGAGGCGAAGAAAAAGGAAAATATGAGTGGGTGGAGCTTTAAAGTTTTCCGAAACTGCCTTTAAAAGACAGCTACGAGCTACAGACCACAAGCGACAACCCCTAAATTCAGATGGTTGGCGAGGACCCTCCACCTCCACTGCTGTTTCTCCAAAACGACGAGCGCGGCTTGTCGCGAAAGATGGGGAAACCCTGCTCTCCCTCATCCACCTCCCCCAACGATTCCAGCTGTGGTACCGGTGAGTCGGCAGAAGCTGTCACCTCCCGTCCTTTGTAGCTTCTCGTACCAAAGTCGCTTTTATGATCATTATTTTCTGTTCTAGCCGCCGCTTCCCCTATATCATTTGTAGTTTGTAGTTTGTAGCCTCACGTACTTGAACGTGCTCGTCTAGATGTCCTGCTACCTCATCGTCTACTTTTTTATAGGCCCGCGAATGGCAAAAATGCTTTGAAATCGTGCCTGGGCACAATTTTTCGGCATATTTTTCTTCGTTTCCTGCGCCTTTAAAAATATCGAAGACTTGCCCATTTTTGCGGCAGTATTTTAATGTTTTTAATGAACGTTTTTGAGCCTGTTACTGCATTGGAAGCAAAATTACTGTATTTGCCGTTGTAAACATATTAAGGAATAGATTTTTTGATCATCTAGGTCCTAGGCCTCCCCTTTCTTGCTCCTGAAAATCTATAAAAACGCTCGGTTTTTACTTTTCCACCTTTGGTTTGTGTGTTTTTTTATTAATTCCGCTCTTTAAACAGCCCTTTTTACGTGTTATAATCAGTAATGACTTTTAATTTAACTTCATAAATTTATAATGTTTGAAGCATAACCACTTATGAATTTACGATTTTTCTATAACCTTCTTTATCTCTCTCCATGGCGCTCTTTCTCTCTCTCTCTCTCTCTCTCTCTCTCTCTCTCTCTCTCTCTCTCTCTCGGTTAGTTTCCTTACCCCACTAATTTTCATCTAACTCTCTACCCATCTAAAGGGAGGTGACAGTTTCTAGCTTTTAGTTCATCCCAATGCATATTCCGCGTATAGAATCTCCCACTTTTCCAGCAATTGGTTCCACCTGATCATCGAGCAAGAGTGGCGGACGATACTCATCATTTTCTCCGGGGGCTTCTTCTTCTCGTGGGCATTCTTTGGCGCCCTCTACTATATGATATCAGTGCTGGCGGTAAGTGAAAATTAAAGTTACATACCGTATTACGCTTAAAAACAACAATAAATCATGTTTTTCGCCACTTTCAGGACATGGACTACCCAGTTACGGTAGAGTTTTTTACATACGGCATGTAGACAGACCGTGTACTATATGCACGGGCGATTTCCGGGAGTTGGGAGTACTGTAGCGGGAGGAATATTTGATAAATTTCAGAGGACCATGCCGAGGGATGGGCATGATGTACTCGTCGAGCAGCAATATATGAATGATGTTTTGGTTAATATTACGGTAGGTTTTGAGGGGTATTGAAGAGAGAGACATAACAGGAGAGAGAGCGAGAGACTGGGAGAGAGATAACGAGAAAGAGGAAGATCGAGACAGAGAGAGAGAGAGAGCGGGAGAAAGAGGGGAAGAGTGAGAGAGACAAAAAAGCGAGAGATTGAGAGGGCGAGAGAGTGAGAGAAAGAGGGAGAGTGGGAGAGACAAAAAAGCGAGAGAGTGAGCGAGCGAGAGAGAGTGAGAGAAAGAGGGAGAGTGGGAGAGACAAAAAAAAGCGAACGAGTGAGAGCGAGAGAGAGTGAGAGAAAGAGAGAGTGAAAGAGAAAGATAAAGAAATACCCAAAACCTAGTTCCATTTCAGAAACCCCGAATATGCATCGAAAAAGTCCACACGATCGTCGACGCCTTACTTTTTAGCATGGAAAGCCAGCATACGATTGGCTACGGGTACAGGTGCGTAACGGAATTTGCAAGGAATTTCGTGGGGGGAAAATTCGTGGTATTTCCGATTTTAGATATATGACAAACGAGTGTCCCCCAGCGTACACGGTCCTGATGGTCCAGCTCGTGGTCGGGTGCTTCCTGCAGACGATGCTTGCCGGGATCGTGGTGGCCAAGGTGTTGAGGCCGAAGAAGCGGAAACAGGTATGTGGTAGCTCGTCAAACTCTTCATCCTATCTCTCTCTCTCTCTCTCTCTCTCTCTCTCGCTCTCTCTCTTTCTCTCTCTTTATCTTATCTCGCAGGCAATCACTCTCTCTCACTCCCTCTCTCTTTCTCTCTTTCTCTCTCCCTTCAGAGTCTGTGTTATTTTCGAGGGTTTTTCGCGAACACTTTAGTATCACATTTTTTCAGGAGATCCGCTTCTCCAAAAAGGCAGTCATCGGCCCGGTAGATGAACACGATCATCGACCAGCGCTAATGATACGCCTCGCCGACATTCAACAAAATCTATACCTAGCCGAAAGCCATGTCCGGATGTACATGGCATCGTCGCGGATAAATCGGGTGTGTGGATTTTGCGAGTTCTGGCGCTCTGCGTATCTGTCGAGACCCAGTCATCAAACGGGTCGAATCTAGAACTTTCTAGCCTTTTCAATTTGGAATTATAGCGCGGCGATCGAGAACTAATCGGCGTGAAAGATATGAACGTTGGCTACGACTCCGGTTGGGATCGAGTCCTATTGTTATGGTATGGGTTTATTGATATTTTGACGTGTTTTTTTACATCTCTACGCCCCATTAAATTTCTTTTAAGTTCCGTATTCGGCTATACGCCCCTAAAATTCCTGATTTCAGGCCAATAATCATCCGCCACATCATCGACGAGGAGAGTCCGCTTTTTGGGTTGTCTAAAGAAACATTAAGGGTGAGGTATCTAGTAAATAGTTGAATATTTTCATTAAGATGACCGAATTCGAGTTGATCATGACGGTGGAGGGGATCGTGGAAGCCACTGGAATGACATTTCAAGCCCGAACGTCTTTTCAACCAGATGAAATCATATGGGGGTACAAGTGAGTCTTTCTAGAGGCTAGAGAAAAAGAAAAGAGAGAGCGAGAGAGAGGGGGGAATAGATAGAGCGAGGCAAGCTAAGGCGAGAGAGGAGAGAGAGAGAGAGGGAGAGAGCGCGCAATGGCGGGAGCAAGAACCTCTAATTCTCCTTAATTTCCAGATTTTCTTCAATGATCCTAGTCAACGAAAAGACCCAGAAATGGGAGGTGCACTACGGGCTCTTCGATCAGGTATCAATTTCTAGCTTTTATACCCTAAATTCAAATTTTCAGGTCGAGCCCTGTGACGGCATCGAGGCGCACCTCGCAGAAACCGAGGAGTGCGAAGATGACGAGCACCACCTGGCAAAATCGGGTTTCATGTGAATCGAGCAGCTGGGCTTCTACTTCCTTAAATTCTCATACCTTAAATTTTAAAACCCCGCAATTTCCGATCATTTAGTCAGTCCCAATACCCCGCGATCATTGCTCACTTCTTCCACTGATTCCCAAAAAAATTTATTCCGATTTCCACGATCCACAGAATAATGTATGTACATAAATTTGCCTCTGATTATGGTATTGTTAGGTCCAGATTGCCTTTTTTGTATTTTATCGATTTTTTGTCCCCATTTTGTTCGCTTTACCGTCAATTTCTGGTCAAACTGTTTTTGTAAGCCCGGTGAAAGTTCGTATTTAGCTTTATTTGGTGATTTTCGAAGAATTCTATATGTTAGACGGATACTACTGGTGTGCATTTTGGATTTTTAGAGGAATTTATGGTGATTACAAATGAAATTTTTTTTAATTTTCGGTTTTTTGGATATTTTAATGTTTTCTCGCACTCTCTCACTCTCTCCCTCTCTCTCACTCTCTCTCTCGCTCTCTAACTCTCGCTCTGGTCTCTCTCGCCTGATCATTAGCCAAACCTAATCTAAGCCTAAGCCTATGTATAAGCCTAAGCTAAGCCTAAGCGAAGCTTAGGCCAATCTCTCTCTCTCTCTCTCTCTTTCTCACTCTCTCTAACCTCCAGCTGTTCTGATTCGTGTATGCCCTCCCCCCTTTTGATGATTTGTCTATCGGAGCGCCCGATTTTTGGCAGAGAACGTAAAGAGGAGCCGCCCGTCGTACAGGGCGAGAACCGATGACCTTCAATGGAAAGAGCCCCTCGAGCGTATTGCCCCCTTCCGCTCCCCCCCCCCCTCCCAGACCATACCAAACTGTCAGCCGCTAACACTTTGCTGCCCGCCTTCCATTGTTAAACATGTGACATTTGACCTCATCGTTTCCTTCTCAAATTCCCAGCAATTACCAGCTGAACTTGGCACGAATTTTGTTCTGGAATGGTCACGTTTTAGAATTTGATTTAGTTTGCGCTTAATTTGGCTAATTTTGGGCTTCCGTGTGACTTTTTAAACCCTTGAAGTTTTTGACGTAATCAGGGTCGTTCTCAACCCTCTAAATCCTCGCCCTTTAACGAACCGTTTTTAGGCAAATTTTAAAAGCTCAGCGTTGGTAAAAAGTGTAAATTTTCTGCAAATGTTATTGTGAAGACCGTTTCGAACTTCAAAAAACTGGCTAGGGTAGGGCGTTTTTAGGCCTCAACCCGTACCCTTCAGATCACCGTACTTGGCTTCGCCTTAATTTTTGGCTCATACTTGCTGACTGGAAATTAGAAAGACTTCCCTTACGTAAATAACCTCATTTCCCTCGGTGCCGGGATCATCCCTTTACAAACCAGTCCAGATTCCAGCGGCCGCGCTTTCTGACTAGGTCAGCCAGTCTTCCCGGAAAATTAAGGTAATCCAGGAACTCTGGGGGTACCTCCGAAAGTAAGGTAGAATCGTTCAGTTTTCTTTTGTTCGGGCGTATCTCGGGACCTTGGCTTACGGGATTTTCGCCTGGCAGGATTTCAGCTGTCGGGATTGTGACCATTCGGTATTTTGGCCGTCGGGATTTTGGCGATCGTAATTTTTACATTTTCTCTTATCGATCCTTCTATCCAAATTCTTTTGATTTCGCAAACACCCACTATGCCCCGCTAAAAGGCAACATTTCCCCATCGGCACGCCACAATTTTTATCAGCTGAAAGCATCGGGCCACCGGAATCTCCCGGTCGCGGATCAATTTTTTCCATGCTTTTTCTCCCTCTCCAATCACTAATCGCCCAGGAACCCAGCAGCCATGCCATTCAGCCGGTCTCCCAGCCCACGCCAGGCCAAAGAACTGTTTTGTTTTCGGGTTTTCGGGAGACTTTTATTAATTCATAGGTTGCACGCTCGTAATTTGCCCTCAGTAATGAAAAACACCTTAGCAATGATTACGTAGAAAATCTAGGCTAAATTTGTTAAACAATTTTTTTATTTTTTTTTGCACGTTGTCGGGACATTTTCGCTAATTCAGCGGGCTTCCTGCTATAATTTTCCCTTAGTCCCTTTTGTACCTTTTCCCAATCGAATGAATGCTAACAAGAAAGCCCAAGCCTAAGCCCTGTCCTAAGCCCTAAACCTGAGCCGAAGCCGAAGCCGTAGCCTAAAAAGGCTAAGCCCAAGACTACCTCTTTCATATTTTTAAAATTCAAGACTACACCATCACCCAAAAGCAAAACTACAATCAATCGGCTTACCAAAAAATCCTCAACCCCCGGAACCCCCAATTTCCGCCCGGAAAAATTCCCCCGTCTGACTACGCGTCAAATAGATCTAGTGACGTGCCGCACCGTTGCCAAGCAAAAATTCCGCCCGCCGTTACCAGCAGCAGCCCGCACTCTGGTTTCCCAATCACCAAATCATTTGCGTGGGAAAGGCGCGGGACTTGGATATTCCCAGGGGGTATTTCTGACTTAAAAGGCGCTCAAAACGTGACCATTCCTGGGCCGGAATAACAATTAAAAAGACCTTATACTTGTTATGCTCGTTTTATATCACGAAAAGCTTAAAAAGTACCACTTACTGGCCAAGCGGCTATACTGCGCTTTTTTTACCGCCCGCGCGAGTATCGGCAAACAACTAGCTCGTTAAAATAGCTATAGATTGGCCGAAAACAACTAAACTACATGGGCGTACACGAATCATTACTCTTTTTCTCTCGCTATATCTCTGTCTCTCTCACTCTCGCTTTCTCTCTCTCCACAACCTTCATCCGATGCGTGTGTTCTCAAGTTCTGTATTTTCCTATTACACCCTGTATAACCCCGATCCCTGCGGGATACAAATTGCTCGCCCCGGTGCATTTTCGCGTACTCCTCGTTTTTACCCCCGATTTTTTCGTGCTAAATGGTGTCCCCGTGACTGTATTCCTGATATATACATAGCAATAATCGGTGAGAAATAAAACTATAGTACAAAATGTAAAAAATTTGAAAAGTACCAACAAATACGCAATGAGCCCAAAAACGCAGCAAAAAATCCTCAAAAATCAGAATTTCTCTGACCCCCCCCCCGTAGTGCCTATAAATTTAGCCTTGTTTTAACGTATCTGAACCCTACGTGGGCTTGAACTACCGGTGAATCATGCCGCACCATCGGGGCAAAACCCTCGGCTTATTTGAACAGGCCGCTATCGCCAGCCATTTCGCATTCGCAACGAGGGAATCATCGGCTATGCGGGTTCTCTCTCGCTGCTGCGGGCTCTAGGAAAAGCCAATCAGCTTCCGGCACAAGATACTGATGATCAAAATACCAGCCACCGTTTGATAATCGGAAGAATTTAGAAAAAAAACGTGCTTTTTGCCTGTCTAAGTTCATTTTCGCTAAGAAAATTCAGATATTTTGCGCCTCTATATAATACCCTTTCATTGCTTACTTTAAACGTTTCCTATTTTGGGAAATCACATATTTTTACTATTTATTCCCTAAATAACTTTTTGCGGGCCCCGCTGCATTTCAACGACTAAACCGCGCCCCATGCACCCTACCTCCCCGGAACCGGGGTGGCGGCCAACTTGAAACAGAAGGGCAATATTGCCAAAAGAAAGGGGGCAAAATTGCCGATCTTTTTCCGGGGTTGAAATGGCGCCCGCCAGGCCCCCAGGCCGCAACTTTTCCCCCCGGGATCCCCACATGCGACGCTCGAAAGCGTTTTTCATCAATGTTTCTATCGATTTCAACGAAATGTAAAATACTACGTCGCAGAAAATATGTTTTAACTTGATTAGAAACTCGATTTCGTTAGTAGATCTAGATCGGGAAAAATGAAAGGCCTTTGTGCCAATACGAGAGAGTACTAATCACATTCGCCGCCAAGTGGAGTATTCGTACACATTACGCTATAAAAATCCTCCCCAATTTTTCAAAAATCGCAATTTCAGAATTATAGAAAAACTTTTGTTGTTTCTTCGTGAACCACAACTTTGCTCGTTTTCCTTCTCTTTTCCCTTTTTTCCCGATTTCAACCCCGATTTCAGCCCCAAAATGCCGGGCGACATTGAGATGGCGGACGATACGATGATGAAGCGCCCAGGTGACGAGGACATGCCCTGGGTGGAGAAGTATCGGCCACGGCTCCTCGGCGACATTGTCGGCAACGAGCAGACGGTATTGCGGCTGAAGGCGTTCGCACGCGACGGCAACGTGCCGCATTTTATAATCTCTGGACCGCCCGGATGCGGTAATTTTTGAGACCGTCTTCTCATCCGCAATTTCAGGTAAAACCTCCTCAATCTGGGCCCTCGCCAACGAGATGCTGGGCGCGAAGGCGAAGGAGGCTTGCATAGAGCTGAACGCTTCCGACGAGCGAGGCATTGAGGTCGTCCGCAACAAGATCAAGTCGTTCGCTCAGATCAAGGTTGGTGGGCGGTTTTTGGTTGGTGATGGTTATCGGGGCGTTGAACTCGCTAAATTTTTAATTTTCAGGTAACACTGCCGCCCGGCCGCCACAAGATCATCATCCTCGACGAGGCCGACTCGATGACCGAGGGCGCACAGCAGGCCCTGCGACGCATCATGGAGATTTACAGCAAGACGACTCGTTTCGCGTTCGCCTGCAACCAATCGGAGAAGATCATCGAGCCGATCCAGTCGAGATGCGCCATTTTGAGGTGTACAATCTGCATGATCGGATAGGGTGGCAAAAAGTGAAAAGCCATACCTGTTATTTTTTCAGCTATCCTGAAGTGTAGATTGGTTTTTGAACAGTTTATTAGTCTTTTATATCGGAAAATGTACCCAAATTAATATGAGCTTCCGGATCCTGTTTTTTAGCGATCATAACTATGCAAATCCAAATTTTTGATTTAAATGACATGAATTGTAAATTTTTAGATACAACAAGCTCTCCGACGCGCAGATGCTGCTGCGGCTAGAAGATGTGTGCGCCCAGGAGAAGGTCTCTTACAACGACGAGGGACTGGCCGCCATCCTGTTTACTGCCCAGGGCGATATGCGACAGGTGCTTTTCGTTTTTTTCATATAATAATCTTCTCTAGGCATTGAACAACCTCCAATGCGCCGCCGACAGCCACGACGTCGTGAACAGCGACAACGTGTTTTCCGTTTGTGACGAACCGCACCCACAACTCATGCTGGAGATGCTCAATTATTGTCTGGAGGGTCAGCTATTGCCGGTGAGCAATTTCTACCTTTTATTGCCCTTCAAAAGATCCTTTTTGATTGAAGACAAAAAACGTCTATGCCTGTAACCTTCACGCTCTTTCAGGCGTGCAAAATCCTCCACGAGATCCACAAGCTGGGCTATGACCCGGAAGACATAGTCTCCAACCTGTTCCGCGTGTGCAAGGCCGCCGACATGCCGCAGTTCCTCAAGATGGAATTCGTCAAGGAGATTTGCGAGACGCACATGCGCATCGTCGACGGCCTGCCCACCGTCATCCAGCTGTCCGGCCTCGTCGCCAAGCTGTGCAACATCCGCTACAAGGCCCAATGAACCTAAATTTTTGGCTATGAATGTAATATTATCTCTTTTATTAGATCTCCTTCCCTGCCACCTCACTTCTGATTGCCGGTGTTTTCCCCCGATCCTCTGACTTTTCTGATTACGTGTATCCCTATCCGAATGAGCACATTGTATAAATAAAGTTTCCACTGCTATTTTCGAATTGTTTTTATCGTTGGTTTAGTCGAGCCACGTGATTTCGGATGCGTTTTTTTTGTCCTGACCTTTTCGTTTCAATTTTTGGAGCTGGAGACAGGTTTCAATTTGTTGTTTTCAGTCGGATGGGCATATTCGACCCGAGCCACTGGCTGCCCAGAGATGTTACTTGGGACGTGCTGGAAAGCACGGAAACCGCCCTCTACCCATCGGCTCGGGATGTGTACATCGCCATGGGACTGGGCATCGCCATGGTGGTGGGTTATTTTCATAGTTTCGTCGCTTTTATTTGTGCAAAAACGGTTTTTTTCCGCGCAAATCGCCAATCGAAAAGAGTCAACATTTTTTCCAGCTCCTCCGAATCCTGCTCGAATGCTACGTGTTCGTCCCGATTGGCTGGTACTTTGGCTGGATCAAGCAGCCGATGCAAGAACGAATGCAAAGTTTGGAATCCCCTTTCTTCGTGAATCTTTGTTCCTTCAGCGCATCTACGCGGCGGCTTCATGGGTAAATCGAGGTTAAAGCGGGTATCCGAGTGCGGCTGGCGGTTTTGCATGTTCGTCTCGATGTTTACCGCCGGGTATAGGATTTCCCCTTTATAAAAATCCCGGTTTAGATATTTTGTACTCCAGGATCAGCCCCAGTTTGCTGATGTGACTGAGTGCTGGCGTAACTGGCCGGCGCATCCACTTCCACTCAAGGTCTACTGGTACTACACGATAGAGACGGCTTTCTACTGGTCATTGTTATTTGGGTAAGAAAACTCCCGTTTAAGAAATTTCTTTTTAGTCACGTCTTCTTCGATGTGCGTCGACATGACTTTTTCCAAATGCTGCTCCATCATACGGTCACGCTGCTGTTGCTGTACATCAGCTGGACGATGAACATGGTCCGTGTCGGCACGCTGATCCTGTTTAGCCACGACGCTGCTGACATTTTCTTGTGAGTTTTGAGATTTTATGAATTTTTCCTTTGAGTTCTCGTTGGTTGACCGGCTTCTAGGAAATCACCATACTTTAACTACTACAAAATACTACCGCGACGTTCAAGAACTACATGTAGTTTCGATTTTCAGGGAGCTCGGCAAGCTGTTCCGCTACGCAAACTGGCAAACGTTGCTCTCCATCGACTTTGTCGTTTTGTTAGTGGTATGGATGGGCACGCGGCTGTTCTACTACCCGTTCTGGATCATCAACAGCATTGTGTTTGATGCGCCAGCATTGATTCAGGTTTGTAATAGACGTTTGTTTCTCACCACCTGCTAGGCCGATTATTCGTGGGGCAACATCTTCCAACGGCCAATTGTGCCCCGCGTGCTGATGGTAATGCTGTGCACGTTGTTGTTGCTGCACGTCTTCTGGACCTGGATTCTATTGCAAAGTAAGCTAGAAGTTTTTAATCATGTAAGTTTCCGCTTTTTAGTCGGCTACCAAGCGATCACAACACCAACCGGCGTCGACGATATCCGCGAAGAGTCGGAGAGCGATTCCGAGGACGATTCGGCCAGCAAGAAGAAGGATTAACACCTCTTTCTCTAGTAATTCTTCCGCTTAGCATTTATTTATTGTTGATTGATTTTATTAAAGTAGCATTTCCTCTCTGGGAACCCCAAACTTTGAACGACCATATTCTCGTTTTGTGTTACGCGCCCCTGGCCCTGGTTTCGAATAGCGCTCAGCATTCTGTCGCGTGTTTCCCGGCTGTGATTGTTTTCTTCGAGTCTTGCCATCCCTTGCAGCCCCCGCCGAATCTTGTCTTTGTGTTTTTTCTGAAATTATTGTTTTTTGCGCGGTCCGCCTGTTGTTCCTGGTCAGCACCCGAATCCATGTTTCCGCCCCCGGCAAGGCTGTGGGGAATAATATTTTTTCGTAGAGTAATAAATTTATCGCAAACGACATTTTGATCGTGCATCGATATGTGGATCACGCGGGTCAATGAGAGGGAGATAGAAATTCGAGAACCAGTCCTATTCTTTTAGCTACCTGGCGGCGAGGGCGATTCGAGAAAACAGACGAGCACAAAGGAGAGTTACTGCGGCAACTGGGCGAAATACTACAAGTACCGGGCTACAACAAGACGAGAAAGCTGTAGACAGCAGCACAAATGTCTAGCACACTATGATTCAGTAAAGAAAAGCCGAGAAAATGGACGAGAAATCGAAGAAAGCGGCGAGAATGACCGGTATGGACGAACACATATGAAGGGGGGGAGATACACAAATATATATTACAAACAAACAATCAAAAAACTATGCTAGGGGGAGGCTGGGACCTTGGGGAGGGAGTTATTGGATTTGTTGCTCGGAGTTCTACAAAAACAGCAATCGACTAGTCAACCCCAGGCAACAAATCACAGCCTAGTGCACACAGAAGCTCGCTGATCATGTGGTGGGGAAACTATCACTAGAAACGGGGGGCTCAAACTTCTTGGCCTTCGTGCGCCCGGTCGATGAAGTGCATCTCGTCCTGGTTGGGGATGTAGGAGACGCCGGCCGGCTCAAGCGACGGCTTCTCCGGCAGCTCGTTCAGCTCCTTGCCGAGGGAGAGGCCCTGGAAAGGAATATATGGAATTAGAACGAATAGTTTTCTTGGAAATCAGGCCAGTTAGGGAACCCAAAAAAGCCGTTTTAGTCTACCGTCGATGGGTTGGAGGTTTAGCTGAAAGTTCTAGCTAAAGGGACAAAGAGAAGAACTAGTAAAGTATCGATAATCACCTGTACCTCGGAGCGTCGCTTCAGACGTTTGGACAGCGTGTGGATGGCGGCGCCGAGCATCAACGGCCCAGGAGTGAAGCAGGCCACAATGACCGGGATTAGGGCCGAGATGTCCGCGTCCGGCTCGGGGAATGACCACTGAAAAAAGCGGATGATAGCAAAAGCCCCATTTTCAAATCGTTCTCGATTAATGTCGAAATTACAATCAGTTAGATCGAAATCTCGACATCTTCAGTTTTCGACAAGATTTCTAATTTTCGACTTTTTAATACATTTTTTTCGAAACCTCACCTTTAGCATCAGAATCGCGATGCCAGTGTTCTGGATGCCCGTTTCGACGGCGATCGCCGTCACGTCGGCCGGTGAGCGCCCCATCGCAATCGAGATGAAGCAACCGCACATGAAGCCGCACCAGGGAAGCAGAAGACCGCCTAAATGAAATAAATATGAAAAACACAGCTTAAAAATTACCTAGCAATGCCGTAGGTGTCATGATGCGCCACATGTACGTGTTGGCGATGCAGCCGAAAACGATGACGAACACGAGCACGAAGATGACGAACGGGCGAAGCATCTGAAAAAAAAATTATGAATCCTAGGACCAAAGACGGGCCAAGACACCGAGTTTCACTAAAGCCAAATTACTGACCTTCCTGCCCTTGGCGGCCAGCTCAGGCTTCCACTTGGCGATTCCAACACCGATCATCAAGGGGACGACCAGCGAGAAGAGCGAGGACATGATCTTGCTGTACGGTACGCGCATCCGCACCCCGGCGCCGAAGCCCTGTAGGAAGTCTTGGCCGAGCAGCGTCAACCACAGCGGCATCATCACTAAAAACACACGATTGGCGTTTCGAGGCATAGTTTTACCTAAACTGCCGAGCGTGCTGAGGAAGGTCATCGTGACGGACAGGTTGACGTTCCCGTCGAGGAGCAGGGTCCAGAAATTGCTGGCACCGCCGCCAGGCGAGCACCCAGTGACGAATAGCCCCAACGCGAACGAGTGCAGCCCCTTCGGAGTGAAGACGGTATGCGCGATTGCATAGGCGAGCTAAAGAATTGTTATTTTTTGCAAAATCTCCTTACCAGCGGCATTACGAGGAATTGCGTAAAGAAGCCGATTGAGGGGCCGACCGGGCGCTTCAGCACCTCCTTCACGACGTTCATGTCCAACTGAAAAAATCCGTTATTTTCCACTACAAAGCCAAAATTACCTCGCATCCCATTAGCACATTTGCGATGGAGATGACCACGACAAGACTGCTGACGAAGATTTTGGTGAGCAGCACGCCGGATTCCCCCCGTTTCACGGCCACATCCAGCGTATTTTCTCGAATATCCTAAAAATAAGAATAAGATAAATTTTTGACGTTGTCACTAACCTCTCCCGGATACTCATCCCACTTGGCGAGCACAAAACGAGCGCGGATCCCGGTTTTGCCGAGGAATTTGCCGTTAACGGTAAAGTTTGACTAAAACAAGGTTTTGTCAAAGCTTTTTCCCTTACGTGCAAAGTATAAAACCGCGTCGAGTTGTCGTAGATGAGATCGTTCTTGCTGAAGAGATGCTCGTCACTCGAGACGCTGGCGATCGACTCGTGTATCGGGCTAAAAAGAAGGTTAGAGCTTCTCCCAATTTTCCAAAAAAGGTATACCTTAACTCGACCCGCCAAGGCCCCTGCTTCTCGTAGGGCTTGAGATAGGCCTCGGGCACGTCCATTTTAAAGGAAACCGTCGCGTTTTTGCCCTCGGCCAGCTCGTTGAGGACTGCCGGCTGGAAGGTGAAGGTCGGCAAGGAGGAAGCGGCCGAGCAGACAACCTAAAACCGTAATAATTGTTTTCTTCAAAGACTATCACATTATCCAGTATTAAAAATCGTACCTGAACAAGTAACCGCAACAGCAAAAGCATTGGGCAGCATTTCTTGCCGATACTCGACGACATCGCGATCAGGCGAGAGGTCACGAGGTATTACCTGAAATGGAGGTGTAAATTAGGTTGTCAAGTAAAGAAAAACAGAGAGAAACAAAACGACACAGGACATCGAGAAAAACATAGATCTAGGGCCAATTAAAGCCGGAAGCCTTGAGAACTCGTGAAAACTAGAAAATTTTGGCTTCAATAACCGTGTAACCATCCTATAAAAGGGTGACCGCAGGCCGGCCCAAAGCTGCGCAAACAAATTGACATCAGAATGGCCGCACCAGGCTGGGCGGATACGGGGGCGGAAATTTCGGTCTCGCGCTGGTGTCGTTCTTTCTGCAAACAGCGCATGCTGAATGGCGCTCGGAAAAACTTGCGCGGCAATACGGTTCATGGCCAGGTCGCGACTAATAAGAATTTTTGGAAAACTCGTAAGAGGCTTCACCAAATATCAACCCCGAGCAAGACCTAAATGCAGACATGAAAAACCTGAAGCCATCACCACGCTTATAAGCGCCGCATCGCGTGACCTCGCGCAATTTCAAATTTTGCCCGAGACGATTTCGTGCCTGGCCGACCTAGGAATCCAAAAGTGAATTCGAGATGATGTTTTATGGCGGTTCCATAGCAACGATGATGCCGCTAAGATGTTCAAAAATTCTAGATCCTACTTGAACGCGAAATAGCAGACGAGGGCTCATGAAACGGGGTACTTGGGAAATGTACTAAAGATCTGGGGTGGGGCCCCGAGGGCCCAATTTCACGAAAATAGACTTCATCAAGGAGTGGGGGGTCCCACGAAATTGCCGATCATCGCTGAAAACAAAAACAGAGTGCGCACGATGAAGAAGGGCCGCCCTAAAATTCACAAGACCTCATTTGGTTTTCAAAAGGAGACGAAAGTGGCTTACTGAATTCCATTAGTCCATTGCCCCATTCTGAAAGTGCTTTCACTAGCCAAGGTATAACTGGTTTGATCCAGGTCACGGGGTCGTAAAAAATAATTGAATACACGATTCGTGTCGTGGCAAGGTGGGGGGTAGTAGCAATCCCTAGTTAATTGGGAGACGCGATCAAAAGTAATCATTTTTGCTTAATTAAAAAAAAAACGGAGATCAGCTTCAACAGTAAGCCTGGGGGATTAGTATCTGGGTTGATGATGTTTCCATCGTCATCTAAGTCTTCAAAGAAATGTTTTAGCGGATTTCACGTTACAGGGAATGCTAGAGAAAATGAACGATAGTTGTCCTCGGAAAGCCGAGTATTTCCAGTTGAAATTGTCATGCCTTTCAAGGCGTCGCATCTAGCTGGAACCCGGCTATCCGGAAATGAGCTGGTGCCGTTGCCGCGCCCGAGAATGGCAACACTTGCATCACATCACGCCTCGCCTATCATTCCGCCAAAAAAGGTCACGTAAAACCTGGGAGTAGGCTAAGCGTGCCTGACGTCGGGAATGACGAAGCACGAAATAAAACGAGACAGCAAAACCGCGATAAAATGAAAAAGCACAAACGAGGTGGAGCTGAATGAAGGTTCATGAAAAGATATTTATCGTTATTCTATCTTCTAAACAAAATTCTAGCTGAAAACAAAATTCTTTTGCCATAAAATAAAATAAAAAAGTCTCAGAGCTCCGTTACGCGAGGTAATACAATGACAGTGTTTTCGTCGAAAGTTATGTATCGGAATTTTGGTGCTTCGGCCTACAATTAAAAAGAATTATATAGTTTCTGCCTGCTGAATTCAAGTTTAGAAAGATAAATGGAAAAGTAAAACGAATTTTATATTTTCTAGAAGAAAACGTGTCGGAAATGGCTCCCCGAACTTTGCGGCGCGAATTTTGCGGCGCGAACTTTGCGGCGCGAACTTTGCGGCTCAAATTTAACTAGGTTTAATCCCGTTAATAGGAAAGATTGGATGATTGTTTTTGTAGTAAAAGCTTCAGACTGCGCTATAGCTGAAGCCCGAGTGAAAAATTTGAAGTCTATGGCTTAGTAAAGGCTCGGTCACGCCGCAAAGTTCGCGCCGCAAAGTTCGTCGCCGCAAAATTCGCGCCGCAAAGTTCGCGCCGCAAAAGTACGCGCCGCAAAGTTCGCGCCACCTCGGAAATAGCCTGCCAACTGCCTAATTGCGTCAGTTTTGTAAGAGATCATCATCATAATCCATCAAACTATTAGAAAAATGATGAAATTCCCTAAAAAATTATCGGAAAACTCTCGAAACACAAGGTAAAGTTGCGAGCTTCCGGGCGGGGAGCGAGTTTTGTTTGGCGAGAACAAGGAGGTAGGTGGATAGGCTAGCCGCTGGCTGGCAGTGGAATAGCAGGAGAGAGCGTCGACGATCAATATAGAAGGGGGAATGTGCAAAAAAGAGGCCCGAAAAGACGGGAAGAGAAGGCACAAGGCCGGAAAGCTTGACCCGAACAGCCTCCACCACCCGAAGACTGGTTGCTGCTGCTGCCAGTGGGGGTAGGGAAGCTGATCCCGCCAGAATAATACGAGAATTCATGTAAAAAAAGTTATGAAAAATACAAGGCCCTCTACGTCATTAGGTATCAAAGTGGAATTATTTTAAAGGGGCAGTAAAGTTAATACAGGACCCTCTTGAAGGTGTGCACGTAAACACAGCCTAGAATTTAGCATGAAAACCAATAGTGAACAAAAATAAAACTAGAAACTTTGCGGAGAGCTCGTGGATTCGGAGAAACTCAAGATCGTCCTTGGCCCCTAAGAGCATTACAGCTTCTCGCCAGGCAGTATTCGATTATATTGACTTGCCCACGGGGGAACCATCTCCCCTGCTCATCCTTAGACTATAATAGCTGACAGAAAGCACTTCCCTGAGTCCGTCACGCGACCGACTGTATGCAGGAATCCCCTGGAATGGAACGAGTGCGAACTGCCGAGGCTGGTGCACCTCCCTATAGCACTTTCAAGGGGCTGCCAGCGCATTAAAAAAATGAGAGACGCGAAATGAAGGCTAGAGAAAAACCTAAAGTGATGGAAAACTCTGAACGAGGAATTTTTCGATGCTATTATGCTTTTGCTAGGTAACCTTATCAAAATTCTAGTCGTGAAATTCTGTGGGCGTTGAAAACCCGATTCGAATAATATCCCATTTAAAAACATCTAGAAAACCACAATGAAGCCCTCCCACTTAGTGCTGGCCTATAAAACCCCTTGCATCAAGCAAATTCCACAACAATATCTGCCCCCGGGACCAATGTTCGTACGCCTTGAGTCTGGGTCGACAGCTGACTTCCCGGTTTCCGCCGAGTATCGGGGCAAAAAGCTCTCGCATCACGTCATTCAAAGGTTGGTATAAGCTTGGAATAAGGTTTTTCTAGGTTTGGAATAAACTTGTATTTAGAATAAAGTCTCAAGGTTAAATTAAACTATATCGGGATAGAGAGGCTATCAAACCCGACCCAAAAATCGACTGTTTGGTTGCCTAAAAAACTGAAAAAACCTCCGAAGTTTTGCAACTACTACTCGCTACTGGCGCGCCTGTACTTTCGTACACAAACCCGGCATAATCCCACTACGCTGCTCGATAAAAAAAATAGGAAAAAGCACGCACTCGAAAAATAGTTATGCAGTCGGGGTATACTGCTGCAATTCCGAGAACGGGTATATGTCGGCTACGCGGGGGGGGGAAAATTTTACGCGGGGGGGGACGGGACAGGCAGGCCTTTTTGGATGTTCTCGTTATTTTCTCGGAATTTTTTCAACGGCATTCGATAGAGCACCGAAAAATATACTAAGAGTTTTTGTTTTAGCTCAAATTAGTGTAATATAAAAAAGTTATGGCAAATACAAAAATCAGCTTTGAAAATCGGTTTGAGCGGCTGTTTTTTGACATTCGCGCTATTTTTTCGACATTTTAAAGATGCCATTCGATAGAGCATCCAAAAATATACTAATACTTTTAATTTTAGCTCAAAATAATGTAATATAAAATAGTTATAACAAAAACAAGTATTAAACGTTGTTTCCATGGAGGACATAGAAGGAAATCAAGTTTTCGACATTTTCGACATTTTAACAAAATTTCTTTAGTGCCATTCGACAGAGCGTCGGAAAATATACTAGGAGTTTTGTTTGTAGCAAAAAGAAACGCAAAAAAAAATAGTTAGCTCGGCCCCAACAGTCCGTCCCCCCCCGCGTAAAATTTTCCCCCCCGCGTAGCCGACATATACCCCGAGAACGCTACCGGGAACTACTTTCACACACAGGCATAAAAGCATTACCACAACAGGGTTTACACAACAAGTAAACGCATTGACTCACGCCAGAAAGTAGACTGGGGTCGAGGACGCCGCGTGGTCCCACAGAAATCAGAGAAAAATCTCGCGCCCAGCAGGTCAATGATGATGGGGAGAGAAGGGCAGTGCGCGGGTTGGAAGTTGACGCAACGGTCTATCGTCTCCTTGTGAGGCCTAAAATTGATTTCAAGCAAAAATAATATGGTAGAAAGCTGGAATTTAGTCGGAGGAACGCGCGAAAATTGCTAGAAGCTCAGCTAACAAGGGCAAAACTTAAAAAAAGTTGTGGGTGACTTCAAGGCGGAAAAAGCTGCCTTTCTGCGAATTTCAGGATTTGGCCCAGAAATCAAAGCATCTTTTGACTCAAAACAAATATTGGAAAAAATAAAGCTGATGGCTTCAAAAACCTTTTTCAGACGGATGGACAAAATCTGACCGGCTTCTGCTTGAAGATGCAACCAAAACAATTAAAGAAATGGTGCCGCGGGATTTAAAGCCGACGCGCCAGGGGAAAAAAATATCGATTTGTTTACATCGCGAGGGGAGAAGGTGGGCGCAGGATGGTGTTGTTTTCGACCCAAAAGAGGGCAAGTGGATGCCTTTTTTGTCGTGGTCAAGTCAAGTCGTGTGCTTTGCGATTATTATCAAGTTAGATTGGGCCACTGATAAGAGTTGGGCATGAATTATGGGGGTCGCATAGATTACCTTCGGTATCTAGGTCCGAGAAATTACCCTAGATTTTTCTATTTTTGGATAATATTGCGATTGTTGAGTTCCCAACAGTGTGCAAACAAAACGGAACCCAAACTTTGAAACTTGTAAATTAAAAAAATCAATCTAGAAATTACGCCGTTGCCTTTCCATCGCCTTTAAAAATAAAATCAGATTCAAAGAATAAAAAATACATTTTACAAGCCGTTAGTCAGGATTTACAACCAAGAAACCAAAGATCTACTTCTCCTGGTTGAAAACAAGGAGCCCTAAAACATCTAGAGGTGGCCCAACTCTGAAAAATGGCTACACGCGTTCACTGTCGTCTCATAATCCCCCCAAAAAGCGCGCAGAAATTTCGCGTATTTCGCGCGTATTATCGCCATGGCTCTGGCTCGCCCAAGTCATCCTCAAATTTTCTGGGGTGGGCAGGGGAGAGAGAGCGCGACGGGAAGACAGAAAACTTGATGGATGTGCCCGCGAAGCTAATTTGTGCTTCGGGATCGGGCTATGTAAGTGTGTGTTTTGGAGTTACGTAGTCTGACATGTTCGAAAACGAGGCTAATGTATGTTGAAAAGTCGCCGGGTTGCTTTTAAAGGGACCAGGTCGGGACACTTGACGAGCCACGGTATGGTTTCGCTATCGGTAAATATTGATGTGTAATGGGCGCTATATTTCTAAATTTTCTGCTAGCAAACGAGCAGAAGCGCCTAGGGAATTTGACCGAGCCTGAATTCTAGAAAAGATAAATCTTTAAACGTAATAAAAACTATGTAAAACAACCGCTAGACCACGTCGCGATACCCGAGAAATGGCCGCTTATGAATTTTGCACGAGCAGACCCCCGGGGCGCCGGACAAATACACTTATCCCACCGGATATGACGGACCGCGCAGCGAGAGGATTAGTGCCATTCCATTCCCAAAAATAAAAATTATTCTTACGGCCGGATGTTGACAAAATAACTTGACCCACGTCCCGCCATTACAAAGTGCAGCACCACCTCTGCCAAGCAGAAACTCGAAATTCATCAGTTTTCCTAAAATCGAAATCGGTATATCCTATAACTTTTTGCGCAGTAACGATAAGAGACGGAACCATCAGTGTTATTAGTTTATTCGCATCAAAACTCCACGGATGTCCGTGCAGGTAGATAGGGGGGAAAGTGTGCCAGATAAATAGGAAGGTAGAAATTGGGGGATTCCAGATCAACAACTTTGAAACGTGGGGGTAAAATGGTTGGAATGTCAACATGTTAAAGATGAGAGCTTAGAAAATGCTTGACTGGAACGGCGGCTGCTTTTTGACGACCCGGCCGCGCTGGACACCTGGAAAAGGACTATTAATTGAGAGGTTGACCAGCCGAAAATTTTACACACGGCACTACGACAAAGCGGAGTTGGGTAAGGCCCACCACAAGGGTATTTGCTAGATTTTCTAAAGATCCCGACCTTTTTGCAAACAGAAAAATAGCGGAAATGCGTTATTTTTGAGAAGGGACATGGTACAAACCGGCATCTCGTCTAGAAGGTTCCCCGGCTTCTGTAAGCACCTCGGCCTCCACGTCCGGCGAAGCCGATGCGGCCGCGATAGCCATAGCCGCCACGTCCGCCGCGCGGGCCACCCATGCCGCCTGCCATGTCGGCGGCCACGAAGCGCGTCTTGTCGATGCGGCGCCACACGTACTTCTTCATCTCGGCGTGCTTCTTCTCGGTCTCCTGAAATAAAAAGGGGCTAATCGGGGTTCTGAAATCTTTCTGGGAGCGGGGAACACCGAATTTTCAAATATAAATAGGTCCTTGGGATCGAATTTCACTAACACAAATGGAGGATGCGCTTCTAAAACATTTCCCAATATTCCTAGCTTAAACCTTTTGCCAAAACCAAAATATCGCTTTTCGAGCAAAATTCGATTTTTCAATCGTTCTAAATATTTCTTGACTCCAACTATAGCTAAATTATGCTAACAAGACTATAAAAATAATAACTTTGGCTTTACTAGGCACACCGACTGTTAGGAAAAATTCGCAAAAGTAGAAAGCTTTCTAAACAAGTTTTTAAAAAGTTTATGGTTCTAAAAATATCAAAAACTATTCTAGTTTCAGAAAATATTGCGCACCTGTTTTTCGAAGGGTCCGGCCCATTGGTGTGACTTGGCCAAGTCCTGGCGGTACTTCATCAGGAACTTGCCGCCCAAATTCTCGCCGTCCCAGAAGATGGGCTTGTTGGCCTCCTCGCGGTTCTTGCGCCAGCCAGTGCCGAGTTGCTAAACGACAAATCCGAGATCTCAACAAAGCCAAACCTTGTCCTGGTCGGCCAGCGCGATGTAGGTGGTGCCGGTCTCGACGAGAAGGTTCTGGATGGGCCGCACTTGCTCGAGCTTCAGCCGCTGGCCCATTTCCCAGTAGGTGACTTTTTCCTGAAAAAAGTAATTTTTGGGACGGCAATCTTCATAACTCTACGAAAAACGTGCCTAGTCGTTAGCCCTGGCAAAAAAAAACGATTTACCGCTTTCCATTTCTCCTCGTTGAAGTTCTTGATGTTCTTCGCCACCTCCTCGGCGTCGATGCCGGTGCCGGCCGTTTGGATCTTGTGCATGGCGTCGGCGTCGCCAAAGTGTTCGGCCATTTTGTACCTAAAATTTCAAGTCAGCAGTCGATCAAAAGCTTTTTACCAGTAGAAGCGCTCCACCGATTTGTGCTCCAGGCCGTTGTCGTCCTTGATGGTGGCCTCGTACTTGGTGCCGAGCGGGTCGTGCTTGCCGCCGATCAGCAGGAACTCGTTGCGGCCCAGCTCGTCGTACTCTTTCTCCCAGATTTCGGGTTCCTGAAAACAACAAAATTACGTTTTATTTATCAACCAACGTTGTAATTTTTCGCATCAAAACCCAAAAACTAACCGCTTCGATGACCTGGCCACCGATTTCGCTGATCGCCGTCTTCATCGCCTTCATTTTCTCTTTCATGCGAATGTTTTCCATCTAAAAATAAACTACTCCCTTGCAATAAAGCTTTAATAGATACCTTGAGCTTGCGAATGCCCTGCCTGAGCATCTCCTTCTCGGCATCCAGCTCAAAGACCCGGTTCTTGAGCATCATATGTTCTTCTTGCATCCTGTGCACGATGTCGCGCAGCTCGCCCAGGTTTGCCATTTTCGAATTGTTTGCCGCTTGCTTAGATGTGTACCGTTTTGGCCTATTACCTGAAAAGAGAGGGGTGTAATACGACAATCCAGAGCGCAAAATCGAAAAACGAGAAAAGAAATATGGAAATGAAGAAGGAGAAGCTGAAATGATGATCCGGCTTGCCAAAAAAGTTGGGTGCCCGCGGAATAATGCGAAATGAAGAAGGCCATTTTTTTCGAGCTCTTCTTATCTTATCGCAAGCAGAAAAAGAACGTCTGCGATGAACGGCCGCGTTCTTGATATTTGAACTGCGCGCACCAAAGTTTTCGCGCTTTCTACTGATCAATTTTCTGCCCTACAGGCCACCGAGCCATTTTCTAACTTTCTCTGTGCAAAATCTTATTATATCAGGCCCCTTTCTGATTTACACCCTCAAGACGAAAAATTACGAAGTTTCTCGAGTTTGAAAACGGTGGGAAAGGCTGGCGAAGCCGCACGAAAAAGGCTCGGTAAAGACCGTCGCTAAATTTACCGAATTTCGCAAAAGAAGGTTTTAGATAATTTTTGTTTAGAAGCCAATAAAACTAGTTTAATTCCCCCATCGAATAACCAAATTCATAAGCTGCCGCCAACCGTTTCGCGTCCGCTGCGCCATCGCCCCCTCTCCGGGTCCAGCCTTTAGGGCACCGATCCACGGTTTAGCCGCCGTTTTGGCGCCATCCCCCCCCTCGCCGGTGATAAAACGGAAATTTCCGGAACCGCTGCAATTAGCGGTGGGGGTTGGTTGGTTGTCCGTTGTTTGTACCCATTCGCCCCGGCTCGTGCCCCGCCTCAAATTTATTGATATCGATTTGATGGGCGGACCTTGGTGAAAACAAGTCGCCCGTTTCGAAATGCGGCCCGCCGAATTGCTTATGCAAGCTAATACCTAGGGGGTGTTGTTGAAGCATTATTTTCGAAATTGTCTGCCTTTATGTGAAGCCACTATTATTTTGCTACTTATCTTATCCCCTAACCCTTTTACCCCAGAGATGATCCGATTTTCGAAAACACCAGTTTGACTTGAAAAGATAATTTTTGAAAACAGTCCGAAAAACATCCCGGTACTATTGAAGTTGGGGGGGCAAAATTTTTTTTGGGTCATTTTTGGGCTAATTGGTCAGTTTTTCTCTGGCTTAGGCTTAGCTTAGCTTAGTATTGGCTTGGCTTAGGCTTAAGCTTGACTTAGGCTAGGCTTAGAACTAGTTTAACCTAGGCTTAGGCCTATGCTTAGCCTAAGCCTTAGTACCAGGTCCTTGGCTTGGCTTCGCCACAGCATCATTGCTTTTGGCTTTGACTTAGCTTTGTTCAAGCTCAATTTAACTGTGCTTCGGCTTAGCTTAGCTTAGGAGTTGAGTATTGCGCTGGATTAGCCACGAAAAACTGACCAATTAGCCCAAAAATGACCCAAAAAAATTTTGCCCCCCAACTTCAATAGTACCAACATCCCCTTTTCAAGCTGGGCTCTAACGAATCTGCAATAGAAATTTTTTGTTTTTTTACGAGGCTATATTCTCTTTCTTGGCTTTTCACTATCTAACCAGAGCCATGATCAAACTTTCGAAAATTCGAGCTTCATCTTGAAAAAACATTTCGAAAAAATTCCGAAAAACTCCTTTTACCTAATTTCGCTAACCTAATGCATCTCAAAAAACAGCTACTATTTCAGATACACGGGTATAACCAGATAAGATGCCGGAAGCCCAGCCTACTTCCGTCTTCTCCGAGGAAGTCGTCGTCAAAATCATCAGCGACGTCTTCGACCGCAACGTCGGCTTCAGCACGTACAACTTCCAGGAGTCGATCAGCTGGAACCAGAAATGCGTTGAAGGTAGGCGCGCCTGGAACAGAAAAATTGAAAATAAAAAAAAGCTGTCCTGCATTTTTGCAAACCGTATCAGGAAACGACGCCCTTTCCAGAGATCGTGTCCGAGCTGATCAAGCTCGACCGCCCGTACAAGTTCACCGTATCGGCCTCGCTGTTCCAAATCGGCAACGGCAGCGGGCTGAACGTGTCCACCGTGTCTTACTGGAACAAGGAGACCGATGTGATGTACACCCATCGCTGGGAGGGTCGCCACATGTCCGCCATCGTCAACGTGTTCGCCGTCGCTTACTAAGGTTTGTTCTAAATTGCCGTTAGCAGTGAATATGAACGAAATACGAATACGTGCGTACGTCCGTACGGAGCCTCCCTGAAGAATACATATTGTACCTAATTTTGAGCCTAAACGACCCCGTAGAGCCCCAATAATTAGTTTTTAGTTTTTTATACAATTTTTCAGATTAAAATCATTAATACTCGAAAATTCGTCAAAAATTGAGAAAACGTCAAAATTTCCTGTTCTCGTTTTTGTTTCAAATTTTGGTTCTTTCGCATTATCGGGGGGGCGACTTTGTTTGTTTCAACCTAGAAATGTCTAGTAACTTATTAGGAAGTATTTTAATAGTGCTTTTCGTAAGACTAGGAAAACTATCTAAAAGCCTCTCATAATGTTTGAAAAACCTAAATTTTGGTAAAAAATCGGTAATAAAAATTGCAAAGTTTTTGCGTTAAGGAATAGGAAAAACGGTCTTGAAATACTACCATCCGCTATATTTGAACAATTAGATCCTAATAAACCTAAGAAAAACACTAAGAAGAGGATTTTCAGATACCCTTTGGTCCACGCAAGCCGACAACCCCGACAGCTTTGACAAAGCAAAAGAAATATCGTGTTTTTGACATCACCTCTCCGAGCTGCGGGCGAGGCGGTACCCCCCGACTCATCCAGTGTATAATCTTCCTGGGTATCTCTAAACTTTCTTTTTCGACTTCGGCATCGCCAATCTCTGGTTTCGTGCGATCATCATCGCGATTTTCGCTCCTTTTCGTCCGATCCTTCTGTTTTCTGCCGGTTACCACTGTTGTTCGATGTGATCTAGACAATTTCCCCATACGATTTGCTCCTACTCCCCGACTCATGCGGCCAATTTATTTAAAGGCCTCAAGAACGATGGGGTACCCAGCCGCAGGGGTTACGGCTGACTGCTGAGCGCGGAAACCCTGGTGACGTAAATATTCGCGCCGCGTTGGAGAAGGGGTGCCCGGGCAGGTTATCCCTCTCTCCCGCCTAGTGCCGCTTGGTGTGTATAGTGGATCGTGCGTTGTACTGTCGGTCCAACGGTGCGGGTGCGACCCCTGTCCGGTGCAAACAAATGTTGCTTTTCGCGAAAATCACCGTTCTTGAGGCCTTTAACTTTATTTAGCTGGACTTTGGTTTTTCCGAAGTAAAAACGGGGTGATTAACTCTGAAATATAACATAATTCGATTCGACGAAGCCCAGGTCCAACGCCCCCCCATCGGCTGAACTATATTTCCTTCCAGGGGTCGACGAATTTACCAAAAAATTCTCTTTCCCTTGCAATCCGCAGGCGATATCCATCGAAGGGCGAGTCTGGGTGTTCTTCCCGATTGCGAAATTCCGGATTTTTCTACAACTTACTCAGATTTTGGCGTACGGGCCGAATTTGTCAAGCATTTTGGATGCACGGTTATTCATAAAAACGCAATTTATGTATTTTCCGCCTTTCCTGGAAGCCTGATGACAGATTTTTAGGTTCTTTCGCATTATCGGGGGGGGGGGGAGACCAAGTGTGACCAGTGTTTCTGAATGGTTTTTACTTCTTAAACGTGAAACCTATATAATTTTATTAAAAAAATGTCGCAAATACCGATTTTTACCAATACTGGCCGATTTTTGGCCAAAATTTCGATTTTTCTAAACTTTTTAGATAGTTTTTCTAGTTGAAATGTAGTTATTTTTTTACTAAGAACACTTTAAAACACTTGCCATCAGTTACTAGACATTTCTAGCCTTATATAAAAAAAATTAGGTCTCCCGATAATGCGAAAGCACCGCTTTTTAAAACCCATGTGAGAAAACCCTGCTGGGATAGCGCCGAAGCAGATTAACCTGACCGTTGACGTCACCATAACTTACCAGCTGAATTTTATGGTATAGGATGGTTAGCTAGAAGAAAACAATTTTATCCAAGTTATCCCGTAGCGCCCTATAACGAAGTATAAACCTTTTTTGTAGCATTTTAGAGTTTTTGGAGATAAAAAATCTTTAACTTTGACTTTTTAGTCCAAAATGTTAAAAAAATAGCTTTGCGTAAATTCTTACCTTGCTGATCCAATTTGCAGAAATCGCGGATTTTGCGCTGCGATCTAAATAGAACAGGCATAAAATCGTGGAATGAACAATTACCTCCGACAGTTTGGACCAATCTTGCCCGGAAATTCGCAGCGGCCTACACACGGATGGCTTCAGGCCCGTGGAAAAAAGCTCGCACTTTCCAAGCTTGATTGTACTATGAGGCTAAAACTCAATTTTTATTGCCGAAACCATTATTTACCTGTAAGATCTCACACAGCTCGATGACGATGAACTTCTCGCTGATGTCGCACGGACTGCGCATGTATTTGTCTTTTTCCTGGAAGGTAATAAATCCAATTTCTAAAAAATTGCAGCGTACTTTGTCATTGAGCAACGCCTTCGTGTTCTCCGCGCCCGCATTCGCCGTTATTATCTTGGCACCACATTCGCGGGAAGCATAGTTGCGCGTAGCCGCCGAGCCTTCATTTTTGACGTGCGGCTGCGGGGCCCCGTTGACGACGGGTTGGACGCTGGCAAGCTGCTCGTTGCGCTTCAGTTCTTGCTTCAGTTTCTCCTTCGTCCACTCGTCAAAAGTGGCAATCTGGGGCTTCGGCTCGGCGGAAGGAGGAGGTTTTGCCTAAAAATTGTTCTATCAAATTGAAGAGCTGGAAAAAACGTCATTTGTGGATTTTCTCAGAAAACCTCGCGGCGCATCGTCTCAAGTTGAACGTTTAGTGTCTTGTTGATGTGCGTGGTGGCGTTGATTACGGCCCCGTCGGCAATCCGCTTTGCCTAAATCAGATTACTAGAAAACCACGGAAATTCCTACCCGAACAATGTTCTTCTCCTGTGCTTCAGACTGCGCCACGTACTGCCGGCTGAGTTCGGAGAGATATTCGGATGGGAGTGACATGTTCAACTCCAACGCGGCGATGCGCTTGTTCAACTTGATGAAGACGGATTCCTAAAAAAATGAAAAATTAGGAATCGTGGTGTAAAGAAGGGCTGGCAAGAGCCAAATTGGACTAACTACCAAAAGGCTTACTTTGTGCGTCAGCGATGAAGCCGGCAGCGACTCGGGGACGGGCTCCTTGATCGGGGCTGTCGTAACTTGGGCCGTAGTGGTAGAGGCCGTGTAGGAAGTCGCTGGTTGATCTCCGGTAGCAGCGACGGGATTCTCGGCCTGCTTGAGCTCGATGGGCTTCGGTGGTGGTGGCGGGCTTTCAATCGGCTTTTCCGGGATTCCCGTTGCCGGTTCCGGAGCTGGCGGCGCTTCTTTGGCCTGCTCGACGGCTTTGATCGGCTCCTGCGAAGACGGCGTCGCCTCCACGGAAATAGCCGGCGTCTGCTCGAACTGAGGCGAAGCTACGTGTGCCAACGTGAGGAAGAAGCGCTGCAGAAAAGAGAACCGCAGCCGCCGATAGCGTCGGCGCGTCCCGAGTGTGTCCAGGAACTTGCGGTTGGGCACAGCGGGCTTGGGAACCGGCCTGGAAATGTTTCAGAATTGGTTTTCAGATATGGTCGTTCTTGATGAAAACAAAATTTTTAACTACTCACCGAGTTTTGATGATCAAGCCAGCGACCTCGCAAAAACGCTTTGAATTCGCCGACAAGGTTCGATTTTTTTTGGACGGCGCAAACGTTGCAGATGAAGTACCAGCCCGGTGAGTTGAACTTGCTGAAAAAATATTATTTATTTTGAAAGGAAAAGCTCTTACATCTCCTTTTTCGTGCCGAACGACCAGACGTTGACAATCTTCCTTAGCAGGTTTCTTGGCGTCAACTGCGACTCGTTGCTTGGGTCGGCCAATGAAGACTTCTTCGGTAGTTCAATGGTGCTGTCATCGAGCTTCGGCTTGACCAGTTCAGGCGTCGGTGGGATCTGGGCGGGAGGTTGGGGCGGCTTCTGAAAGGAAGGTTTCAACGAAAACTGGATTCAGCCAATTAGCAACCAAAATGCGAAATCAAGCAAGGCGATGTCCCAACGAAAAACCAATTTACCCGCGTGATCTCCTTCTGCACTTCCACCACGGCCGGCGGCACTGGTTGTGTAGCAGTGGCCGTATTGGCAGCGCTGCCGATGCGCCCTGCAGCGATCTCAGCCTCGGCCTCATACTCCTCCACAATCGACATCCCGAGGACGCGCAACATTGTCAGGGTGCAGTAGTGTTCCTTGCCGTAGTGGGATAGAAGTTCGACCTAAAAGTGCCAATAAAAACCACAAAAAACGAAAGTACCTTTAGAAACTTTGCATAAAGCCCCATCTTGGTCACGCGAAACGTTTGCAGAAATCGCGAATCTTGCGCTTCGATCTAGAAAAACGTCATGACGTGATTTTTAACATAATCCTTCAAAAAAAGTTAAATTTTTCAGAAACTACCTCCAACACCGTCGACCACTCGTTTGCCGGGAACTTTTCAGCAGCTGACACGCGGATGGCCTTCGGGCCCGAGGAGAACAGCTCGTAGTTGCCGAGCTCAATTGTATGGGGCTAAAAAAAATTTTATTTTAGCAACTATTATTTTTACCTGTATGGTCTCACACAGCTCGATGACGATGAACTTCTCGCTGATGTCGCACGGGCTGCGCATGTATTCGTCTTTTTCCTGGAAGGTAACAAATCCAATTTCTTAAAAATCGCAGCGTACTTTGTCATTGAGCAACGCCTTCGTGTTCTCCGCGCCGGCATTCGCCGTTATTAGCTTGTCACCGCATCCCCCGAAGCTAAGTTGCAGTGGTCACCAAGGAAGGAAGGCCGAAGTACCTGCATGAAAACGCTATTTAGGCATATTGAAGAACGCAATCTGAAAACGAAGAGTCTGAAGGCACGAAAATTTGAAAAACTCAAAATAAAATGTGTTCAAAGTAGTTTCACGGACATTTTAATTGCTTTATCGCATCGGCAAGTCGGTAAGTACAAAAAAAAGCATCATTATATCGGGTGGGTACAACTTTTAACGGTCTATAAGCTCATTATATCGGGTGGGTACAACTTTAAACGGTCTATATTCGATCGATCTATAATCGAGTAGTTTGACGAGCCGGGACGCGTTCACGCTTCATCCCCTTCTCTTCCCACCTTCGCAATTTGCACCGCGAACAGGCACCTGAAAATACCCGATCAACCATGCGGCCGGACAACAGATCCATCTATAGTATAGGTACGAAGTACCCACTTGTGTTCGGGCATTTTCCCTCACAGGGGGGGCACCTCTCAAGCCTCTGGACAGCCTTCCTGAAAATCACGCATCCAATACAGTGAGTCAGTTTTTCTGCTTAACAAGATTTTTTGCCAAAAACCCAACGTGAATTTGTTGCGGCAGGGGTGGCAAGCCGCAACTCCGAGCTCATCGTTGAGGTCGGTGGCCTCGTGCTCCTCCATTTGACAAAATCCATGCTAAATGGAAAGACGCATATTTGGAATCTTTCACCTTCTTCATTTTATTTCGAGTACAACCTACCCAGGTCTTGCGCGGACGTCCTTTCGTGTTGCCAACAAGGCCTTTCTCCTTTCCCCGCTTCCGGGTCTAAAAGCGTAGATTAAGAGCGGTTATTTTCCTTGAAATTCCGAAGGGTACTTGGACTTGCTAAGCAAACTTCAAGAAAGCCTTGCCTTTGACTTGTTCTTCGTAGCAACTTGCAGGTCGGATGGCTGCTTAACTAGGTCGGATGGCTTAACTTGCTCTTCGACTCGAATGGCCTGAAAAGATGGCATTACTAGCGAAAATCAATGGAGCGGAGGCAGGATTGGCGCAGGCCGACCTCTTTTCGGGGGGGGTTGCGCGTATCGTCTCGGCTCACGTGATGGTCGCGTTCCGTGGTCTGGGCAAAAAGAGAAAAATGAGCAGGTAAGTTTATCGGAGAGGTGATATTTGAATCACGTTTCAGACCTTGCCTGGGTTGCAAAGGCGCCGCCTGTAAAAACCTACAATAGAAGGGCGATAGTTCATCTGCAACAATTTGTTCTTCCGTTCGTCTATCTCTTCTTCTCTCTTCTTCAGTTTCTTCAGGCGCTCACCGTTGCTGTTGTAGAGTTTCGTAAACTAAAGAAACTTTACTTCGAGATCGACACGAATGAAGCTAACTAAAGATTTGATGTCGCCTAGGAAAAACGCTGAAGCGCCGCAACGGCGCAGACTCACATAGTCAAGGGCATCCTTCGACTCGGTGATGCACTCCTCGGCATTCAGTCGAAAAGCGGCTTCGGATCTTCCGAGCATGCCAAATTCTGTCACCCGGGTCTAAGCGAGTCATTTAGAAGAATCACCGAATTACCTGAAAATAACTCGTTTCCTCCATGGACTTCGGGGCCGCTCGCACCGGGATGGTTTTCTGAAAAAGAAAAATTCCTGAACGTAGCCTTTTATGGATTGGTCGGTCTAAATAAACGAAAAAATTACCGACTCCTCGTCACTCGTCCCCGTGCCTATGCGCGGCAAGGCCGCGTCTGCTTCGCGGGTGGGTGGGACCAAACTTGCGGCTTCACGCTTCTTGCAGCAAAAGACGCGGCAAAAACGCTGCCAGCAAGATCGTTTTGGTTCGGCCTCGCTATAAAAAGCCATGAACAACCGAAGTATGACGAAGTTTAGCACAAAATTGCTAGGATTACCTCTCGGTCGTCCCTTCTCCCGCGTCACCCATGTCGCCACCACCCAGTCCTCTCAGATTGGACCCCAACGCCTCAAAGACTTCATCTGCCTAAACATCAGCATTTTAGCAGGTGGGAGAAAACAACGTCGTGTTGTAGTTCCTTTAATCGCTCCCTGAGAAGCTTCTCGTTCTCGATGGAATTGGCCAACTAAAAATCATTGAAATAAAGGTGAGCGGCGAATACGTCAAGGTCATTTAAATCATACCTGTTCATCGAGCGTCGCGCCCACCGTCCGTAGTTGATTTATGCGACGTTGCAGGTCCTGATGTCGCGCCGCAGCGGCGTGAAACATCTAAAGGCACTGACGTTCGCGCCGATGGCACTTAGCAAAGTGTTCGGTTTAAAATTGCACAGGCTCTTTGCACCTCGTTCATGGAAATTAGGTATGCAAAAACTACTACTACTCGGTTGTTTTTGCGCGGTCCGTTGCGCGACCAAATGCGCGGGACCGGAGACTGGCAGGGACGGGGTCCCGCGCATTTCGGCGAGCGGCGGCCCAATGCGCGGTTTATGATCACGAAATTCCATAAATTGAAGGTTTTTCAAGTCAAGGGCCTTCTAGAGGTCTCTTTCGGTTTTCCGATTTCGTTCGCTTGGCATTCACACTTCTACGATGAAGGCAAACGAGTCTAAAGCAAGGAGGCTCGCCCCCCCAAGGCCCAAACTGCTCCTGCTCGTTGTTGGCCGTGCAGCCCTCGATACTACTGCGTCATCATTTCAAACCTTTTATTCCACAACGCTCTCGTGTTTCCGGATCACAACATATTTGGGGTGGGGGGAATGTCACGCGAGAACAGATCTCCACAACAGATTTGGCGTGGCCCATCAAAGAAAAGATACATCACATTTTGGCAAGGGGCAGGGGCAACGACGCAGCGTCGGAATAAAACGCTATTACAACCAAAAAGACCAATAATAATATCTGGTGGTACCCATCATCACAAATTTGCATTTATAGGCTTGAGCAAAGTCAGGGGGTACACATTGGGAATCGACGGCGGGGCAATAACCTGTTTAGTGAGCAAAGAAAAAAAACCAATTCCACAGAACTAAATACTAAATATTTAATCGTAAAAACGGTTGAATAATAATCACATAGAGCTCCTGTGAGGCTTGGGGCGGCCTTAAATTGCATGTATTTTATGTATAAAATGGGGGTGATAATTCAATAAGGGGGATAAACACTCGTAATGGGCTGTGCGTTGCAAAAACGGAGGCACATTAGTGGTGGGAGACCCAGTAGGTGGGCGAGTATACAAAAAAATAGCAAATAATCACAGAGTTGATTTTGAAGGGTTAGTGAGTTATGAGGGTCGAGAAATAGAACAACTTTTAAGCGCTTCAAAAGCCAAAAATTTGCCTCAAAAACGATCCTCATATGGACGATGGGGATGACTAGGGGGAATGAGAGTGGCTGGGACATTCACAAACAAAAAGTGAGCAAGAAAAGTGAGCAAGACTGGGCGAGATGGAGTAATACAGTAATACAGACAGGGCGCACCTAGAATTTCGCATAGATGCCGTGGTCGATGTCGGATTGGAGCTGGGCGGTCAGGAGGCAGTAGCCCTTGTCGGCGGCGCTCCAGTAGTAGATGGAATCTCCGCCACTCTTTGCCAGATCGTAGCCCTGCTTCTGCAGCTCGAGCTTCTTCAGTTTGAACGTGCCTGAAATCCGGGATTTAGGGGATGAGGTCGTAAAATAATTGAATAGATAAACAATAATAATAATAAAATTAAGTTCTTCTACAATCCCAACTGCCGACCAGTCTTGTCGACCTCCTTCAGGAATCGGATGAACACGGGCACGGCGTAGGAGGCGAGGTTGGAGGTCAGCCGCTGGGCGATGTCTTGCAGGAATTTCTAAATTTCGCTAAATTAATCTACGAAAAAACCGACCTCGTGATCGACTCCGGGCACCAGGACGACGCCAGCCATTCCAGCTCGACCCTCCATTTTTCCGACCTACAAAAAACACAAATTAAACGTGAAAAACCGCAATTAAAACCTAGCTCGAAAAACATACCTCAACCCCATAAACGGTGGCATCCTCGACCTCCATGACCGGCTGCAGAATGCCTTCGACCTCGGTGGTGGACACGTTTTCGCCCTTCCACCTGAACAATTGGCATTTTTGATAAGGACACCACCGCTTTTCGATAAGTATGATAACCACAAAAACACGTACCGGAATGTGTCTCCTCGTCGATCGCGGAAATACAGGTAGCCCAGAAGATCCCAGTAGAGAATATCGCCGGAAGCGAACACCTGGTCGCCCTTGCGCAGAACGTCGCGATAGATCTTCTTTGCCGTGTCGCCCTTGTTCACGTAACTGAGCGTAAAAATTGAAATAAAAACTACACTAAAATACCAACCCCTCAAACTTCAGGAGCGGATCGTTGCTCTTAATCACGCCAATCATCTCGCCAGTGTCGCCGGGTGAGCAGGGCACGCACAAGCCGTCCTGAAGTGAGAAAATAGGTATAAAATGTAGAAACCGTTAAAATACCCCTTTCTACACTCAAGCCACAAATAAGCGCACGACTTACCGGTCCTCGCACAAGTTCGCCGGTCTCCTCGTCGACCTTGATCAACCGCACGGGGTACAGCTGGCCAATGTGCGGGTAGATGGGAAAGAACCCGCACGAGCCGACGTGGTTGTCGATGTTGACTGCAAAAAATCATTATAAAAATGGCTGCTTTATTCACTAATATTGCTGTTGCCCTCCGTCGACCCGTACAGCTCGCCGACGCGCTCGATGCGGAAGCGCTCAACGAACGGCTTCCAGATCTCGGGCCGCAGTCCGTTGCCCCACATCACGCGCACCTTTTGCTTCTTCTCCTCGGCCGATTCGGGCTGTGCCAACAGATAACTGAAAATTAGAGTTTTAAAAATTTTAGATCCTCGAGAGTATGATAAAGGCGAGCGAGCGAGAGAGAGAGAGAGCGAGAGAGAGAGAGAGAGAGAGAGAGGAGAGAGAGAGCGAGAGAGAGAGAGAGAGGGGGGAGATAGAGAGCGAGCAGCACTTACCGACAAATCTCTCCAATGTATTGGCTAGCGGTGCAATCGTACTTGACGCAGTCCTTCCAGAAGTTAGACGCCGAGAACTTCTTGCGGATGACGGCCGTCGTTCCGGCGACGATCACGCTACCGATGCCCATAATTCCTTAAAAAAATCGATCAAAGCAAAACTTGAAATTCCAACCTGCCGCGCTGTGATACAGGGGCATAGTGATGTAGACCTTGTCGTCGGGAACGATTCCAAATGCTCGTTGGGCACCCATGGCGATCCAGAAATAACTAAAAACGTTGAAGATACAAAGTTTAAAAATTCGGCCCTACCGGAAATGCTTGATGACGGCCGGCTTGGGGTTTCCGGTGGTGCCCGACGTGTAGATGTAGCAGAGGATGTCTAGAAAAGTTTATTAAAAGTGCAGATAATCCATAAAGAGTTCGAAATTTCAATGTCCGTATTTCCAGATTTTTTTACCGCGAGCAAGAGACTAAAATCCCATTCGAAAGAACTAACTCGTGAAGGTGACGCCCTTGTTCGGTGGCTCGTTCGTAGATACGGACTTTTCGCGAGTCGCCCTGGCCAGACTAGGATATTCCGATCCATCCCCATCGACGAGCAGAATCTTCGTGTCTTCCGGGAGCAGCTTCTGGGCGATCGCCGCCTTGAGCACTAGAATAAAACGCTATTTCGAATTTCCGAAAAAACATACTTGGCAACAAATTAGTGGAGGTGATCACCGACTTGCCCTCGGCCACGCGAATCGAGTGGGCAAGGGGCTCGAGCTTCAGGTTCGAGTTGATGAACGCCGAGACGACGCCGATCTAAACGATTTTGTGATCCCAAGATTCATAAAAAGAAAGCAAAAAAATGGAATTTGGCGCTTTTTGAACAACCTTACCTTTGACAATCCCAACCATACTGCAAAGAAGTCGATGCTGTTCTCCAAGAAGAGCGAAATCACATCCCCGTTGTTGTAGCCTTTCGTCTAAATGATAAAATTATACATTTTGTTGAAGACGCTCACCTCAAAATAATTTGCATATTGATTACAGTGTCGGTTGAGCTCGTCGAAGTTCAGCGACTTCCCGGTCTCAATCTCGATGACGGCCGTTTTTCGGGGATGTTCGGCCACCTAAAAAAGGGCGGTCTTATAACTCCGAGGGGCTTTTCGCAATTTTAAACCGATCCCAAAAGCTTAAGACTCTCACCTTTTCAAGGAAAATCTTATGGATGGGCTCGTTGTTGGCGAGTCGTCTCTTAATTTCCCGCTTTACGCTGATGAGCAGTTTTAAACCCCTGCAAAATTGCAGCTTTATTTTGGAACGGCTGCAGGAAGCAAATTTTTCGCGCCGAAAAACTCACTTGGCATCCCGGGAAATCGTGGCGCGGACCCGCTGAAAGAAGTCGGTGATCCACACGCGGTAGCCGATGAACAGGCAGAAGACGGTGAACCACCAGGATCTGAAAAAAAAGGATTTTTCCCGATTCTAGACAATTCTAGACAAAAATCCACAGAAAATTAGACGCACCTGCCAAACATTAGCATCACCGCGGCAAACATGCCTATCCGTATAAGGGCCCGTCTTGGAGTGTCGTCCATTCTGGAAACGTGGATAAATTGGGTGCACACTAGGCAAAAAGCGCGTAAAAGATAGGGCATCAAAAATGCCTCGAAAACGAGACTAATTTTTAGGAGATCTCAAATTTCATACCGCCTGCTCAGCGGTCGCGCCCCCGAATGATGAAGTTTAGCGCCGGGCGCGGGCCAAAGTTTATGCAAACTACGAAGGGAAATTGCCCCAGGGTATTCCGACAATATGGACAGATCGGAATCGAGAAATTATACTTTCGAACGTTCAAGTCAAAAGCTTCGAGTCTCGGCAAGTATTTTCATAGCAAAAAAAGCGATCGTTATCGAATTGTCGGGGCTGGTATCTTTTATACGGGTTAAGGGTCCATGATGGTGAGAAAAAGATACAATTTACATCCCCGTTCAAAAGCATTTAAACGATTGATTTCTTAAAAACGACGGAGATCTGAACCTGCCGACGGCAAGTTTCACAATTTCCACAGCATCTTAATCGCAGAGCGCCGAAATAAGGGCCCAAAAAACCTCAACTACAACCCGAAAACGGAATACTTTGACCAATCCACCGGGTCAAAATACCCTCCAAAACGAGATGAGGCGAGAGGAACGGGAGGGGCGGTGCTGGCCACCGAACGATAAGGCACCGCGGCCCGGCCAAGGTATTCGGCGGCCAAATCGGACCGCGGCCAGATAAGGGCCCCTCTTCTGATTCCGCTTCTTCTTCTTCTTCTTCTTCGTCTTGTCTTGGCTTAGGGGGCAAAACAACAGCCGATCCGCTGAATTCTGGCCGCCGCCGGGGCTACGCTTTTTGCGAGGAACTGGCCCACCAAAAAGATAATCGAATATGGATTCGATTTATGGCCCTATGGGCGCGGACAAAGACGGATGGGGGCAAGGTGCAAGGCGGAAAAAAGCAAATCTGCAGTCTGATCGAAAATGTAGCTACGTTTAGTTTAGTACTGTAATGTTAGCGGGGGGATATCCACCTGTAAAAAAACCTTGTAGCGTTTTATTGAGAATTTTATGGCCTTTTTAGTAGTCTAAATTACCAACCATCACAAATATTTTTTGGAACATTTAAAAATCTGCTCAAAAATCCAGGTTTTTCGCGAAAATTATTTTTATCAGCTTATACATTTCAAAACCCCGAAAAAAGCGTTAAATAGCGTATATTTCATTATTGGGATCTGCGAGGGCGATAGGCGAAAGTTAGGTCTACCCGCGAACAGCCAAGTACACTCAATTTCAGAACATTGAAACAAAAAAAATAATGTAGTCAGAAATCAGAAATTCACTCAGAATTCGATGAGTGCGGAAGGGACAGCTTCTTCATGTCACGCACGAGGTCTAGGAATGGCTAGTGACCCGGGCTTAGCAACGGACGAAAGGGCTAGGTGGTAGCCGTAACGGGAACGAAAAGACCATCAACCCCCCAGGGGGGTAAAAAGCCCCGAAAAAAAGCAGCCGCACCCCTTGAAAAAGAGGAGGGCAACGCGTATGCAAATCAGCGGGCGCAGCCGGCCTGGAAGCCCCGAGTCACCCACAAACCCGATCCAAAGCCGGATACCCGGTCCAGAAATGGGAGGCACGCGAGAAGGGGGGAGAAGGAGGGCGAAAGCAGGAACCACTGATGATCAGCCGGGAGGTGTGTCAGGAGAAAAAGTTCGTCGTGGGCTGGCTATTAAAACCTGCCCAACTCCTGCGACTTTGAACTTGCCGAACTCGGCGAAGTAAAGCCTAAATTAGGGTTTCAGCGCTTTGTTTTCAGCTAACGTTTTCGGGGATTTGCGGGGATTAGTTATCTTGAAACAAGTCACAGCGGGGCAGCGAGCAGTGTTACTTTGTGGGCTCTGGAATTACGGCGAAAGTTCAATTTACGAACTAAGGAAGGTTCCAATTTGCTCCCTCAATTTGAGACAACCCGAAAAATCACCGAAACCGTTCCTATATGAGAGCCCGCGATTTTCACACCAGATAATGGAGGAATTTACGAATTCAAAAAAGGTTAAAATTTGTTGCGAGATACGCGGGGTGGAGCCGGTTTTCCAGAAAAATTCCCCCGAAACGGTTTTTGATGGAACGGAGGGCGGGGTGAGAAGGAGTGAACGGTGTTTATTTTGGCACACACACGGACACGTACTCGCCGGCTAACCGTAGGGGGGAATGGGGCGGAAAAGGCATATCGTCTGTTTGCCCACAAGCCCACAAATATGGCGTTCCGGGGATCGTGTCGAAATTGTGGGCGCGGAAATGCCCTCAAGTGCTCTCGAATCGGTATTGTGGACAGTAAAAGTTACGAGAGAGAGAACGGTAATAAATAAAGTCATTCCAATCAAGCATCCCTTTCTAAAAAATGCCAGAAATTTAAAATTCAAAAAGGAAATAAGCGAGCTTTCAGAAAAAAATCCACGTATTCCGATCATCGTCATTTGTCAAGTAATGTATCATATCCAAGCCTAAGGCGATAAACAACCCATATGCTTTCAACCGGAGCTGAGGGTCGGGGCGTCTTCCAAAAAAATGCATTCGGAATGCGGGCCGGAGGAACGGGCGTGGAAATAGCCGAAACGGCAACATTACGACCTCTTTTCGATCTCTGGCGCACTCTCTCTCTCTCTCTCTCTCTCTCTCTCTCGTTTTGAGACTTTTCTCTAGGGGATGGGCCGGAAGCCGCCCCGGCAAGGGATGGGTCAATGATTAACCCGGCGCGGGCCGAGCAATGGGAGAGGTCGACGGCGCGCAAAAATTCCTTTTCACCACTATATAGCAGGGTGCACGGAGTATTTTAAATTTTGTAACGTGTTTTGGCTTCTCGTGTTTAGCGCAACAAATGACAAAGCCCGCTCCCTAGAAGTTGCTGCTATTTTCCAAGCCCAAATAAGCCAATAAGGAAGTTACAAAACCTAAACAATATAGACAACTTTAAAATCTCTAACTCTACTACAGACACCCGCCTTCGTATTTTGTGGTCGCGCCTATCGGTATAGTGATAAACAACCAATACCCTCCCATCATGATCCGTCATTGAAAACCAGGGGGAAATGGGATTGGGATGGGCCAGAAAATGTGGAGAGAGAGAGAGAGAGAGAGAGAGAGAGAGAGAGAGAAATTGTATAGCGAATTGGTCCGGAAAAGGGCGAAAAAATATTGGCAATTGGCCAGCCGGCTGGATACTGATGATGGTTGTTCGGTGGGCTTTGAATTTGTTATCCGTAGACTATTTTTACACAAATTTGTAAAAGAGTAGTAGACAAAAATGTACTAAATTTTCGCCCGAAAAGCCGGTAATCAAGTGGGTGTTTCCGGTTTCAGTTTTTGTGGTCAAATCGACGGCCAAGAACGTTTAGACAAGAAAATGCAAGAAATAGAAAATTCAATCCTGATTAAGCCGAGTTTTAGCTGTCTAAAAAACACATAAACCCATAAATCTTATTTAAAGCTGCATTTTGCAAAAAGCGATGCGCGTAAACGCAGAGAACCCTCAAAAAAGGCAGTGAATTGGGCGCCGAAAAGGCACGGAACACCGGGGGCTGGAAGCCATGGCAAAACCAGACCCAGACCCGCCCCGCTCGCCGGCCGACCCGGAAAAACAACCGAAATTTGCATGGAATTTGGGCTGTAAAAAACAGGCGGTCACTTGATGGAGGATCAAAAGAACGGATTCGACCAAGGACGTCGTTAAACCTAGAAAACAGCGAGCAAAATTAGCAAAAACCACGATACACTAAAAATTCACAAACTTCTATATCCAATTCTTCCCCGCTAACAAAATAATGCACCCTTTCGTTATAATGAAACGCCACATATCTCTACGCATGGAATTCCTGCAATAGTATTTTACCCCGAGGATGATTCACCCGAAAAGATGAACGAAAATTTTTGAATTTTTGAACGGCCTACTTTTGCACAAAATAAAGCAGGCCTTTAAAGGGATACCCAAGGTTTTGGAGGCAAATATATAGTTATGGATTCCGGGCGGTACAAATGACGCGCGAATTTTGTGCGGCAGTGGGGCGCCATTGCAGCCCAGAATTTGGACACCTTTCCCTCTTATGGCGTCCCCATCCCACGCAATGGCTTGCCACTATGGACTAATGGATAGCATCCAGGCCTACAAACCGGGGGTCCCGGGTTCGACCCCTGCCCGCGGCATGGTTTTTGCTTTTTGAGCCCCGAAAAGGTTGGGCATCCCTTTCAGCGAGTTTGTAAACGCATGAAATAAGTTAAAAATATAAAAGAATTCAATTTAACTCATAACATTAAATTCGAAAAGTGCAACTACGGGCCGTACTTTGTACAGTTCGTAGTGTCGAGGATGCCGGGCACAGGGCGGGTGTGATTTTGGGGGCTGCTGAAATGGAAGGCAGGCAGTCAGTGTAGGTGGTGGTGGTGGTGGGATGTGGCTAGAGGGGTGACGGCGGAGGAATTGTTTGCTTGTGAGTGTGTGTGGGCCGAGTGATCGAAGCCTTTCCAAACAGCCACCCAGCACCCTGCATAGATGTTAGAACACAATTCTCTAAAAACCATTGCTTGCTAACTTTTCCAGCGTCGGGAAGAGCGCTTATACCACCACGCCAAAACCCAGCTGCAAAAAAAGGTGCTTTCGCATTATCGGGGGGGGTTCTTCTTTCCCCTTAGGAACCAATTTCTCTAATATTGATCGAAAGTTTTTTAAAACTGTTTTTGCAATGACTAAACGTAAAACTTCGCCACGTTTTACTTTCAAAACTATGCAAAAAACATGGATTCTTCGAGCAAAAAAGTGCATTTTCGACAAAAAAATTAAAATTGATAAATTTTTCTTAGAGCCGAAATTTGAAAAAGAAAAACAAAACATTAGGGTCTAAATCGGAAAAATCCAACGCTACATTATTTGCATCCCGGGATGCGTAACTAGGGTGATCGCAGGGATTCGCCGACGCGCCTCCTAATTGTCCGTTGCAACTCTGGCGCGTCTAGACGCAAATACGGCTTCGTATACACCGAAAATGGAATTCTGAAGGCAAAGTAAGACCTATTAGAGGAAAACGGTATTGTAAGAATTCAGATCAAAAGCTAAAGGACCAAGGTTGCAAGTACTGGCAGCACATGTGCTTGTTAAAATATCTAAAAACTTTGGAGCTTCGGGCTAGCCCTATTTGTACGCTAGGGTACGAAATTCACGCGGTAAACTACAGACGTTAGATATACTGCGTAGCTCCACCTCGCGCCAAAAACGTATTCTACTTCGCACGCGTACTATGACCGCCAAATCCGCATGATAAGGGGCATTCGGCGACCGGGCACGCGGCTGATAGTCGATTGCACGGCTTCGGCAAAAACACGGGTGCCGAAAATTCGAAAGCCGAAATTGAAGTGGACAGTGGAGGGGCGAAAAGATGAAAAAAACGAGGGAAAGGTGGAAAATTGACAAAAGGTTTCCCTCGATTGGTGAATCACCCAGTGTCTAGAGATAATTGGGAGGGGAAGTTAGCTGATAGTATTCAACGTTTCTAATCTGCATAATAATTTTATAACAGCTAGTCCAGAAGCTATTTTAAAAAGTCGATAAATGCTCCGGAGTCGTCTAGCAAAACGAGAAACGTTAAGGAAGTTCTAGAAAAAGTTTAGGGAAATCCAGTTTCCTTCAGAACTTATCGTGCGAGTTGGTCAGCACCTGATTTGCGCTATCGCCACAACGTGTCTGATAAGAAAACTCAACTGATAAGACTGTTACGATAAAAGTTCAATCCATCATGGCAGAAACGACACAAAAAGCCAGAATCAGTAAGCTACACGATCTACAATTTAGTTTTTCGAGGCCAGACCTCAAAAAGTACAGTGCAGCCAGGAGAAGTCCGAACCGGGTCAAGACCGAATTTTCGCTAATTAGCAAAAGGAGCACGGGGCGCCGGCTATCCATCAGAGCACTCCCGCGGGCTGCTTCGATACCATTCAGTGTGATTCTCGGTCAAAAATTGGACGGGTTCTCGAGTCTTTGGCCGATCAGCGCTAATATAACGAGGAAAGAAAAAGAAGCAGTCAGATAATCGGCTACAGAAAATCGTCGAGCGTAACGCTGACATTTTTTGGATCAGATGACATGCGCTCAGAACCCGGATTATAGATTTTGGTCTCAGTTTGTCGGAGCGCAAACGGGGCGGTATTTCTTTATAGTTTTTGCTCGTATCATTGAAAGAAGCTGAAACTTTCCACGGAATTAGTAACGAACAGTTCGCCTGCAACTTGATTAAAGATCTCAATAAATTCAGCCAGCCAAAAATTTTTCTGATGCGCCAGACTAAAACCTCAAAATTCGATTTTCTATAAGAAAGACCCAAAAACGGAGTACAAAAGCCACAGACCGCTGACGAGCGGCTGTCAATGGGTGAGGAGCGGGGGAAGGAGGGGAGGAAGAGGAGGGCAGATTGGAGGTGGTGCTCGTGGACAGGGTTGCCGGTTCAGAAGAGGAAGGGTGGGTGTTAGAGGGACCACGGAAACCCGTTCCGAATCAGCAGCCATTTCTCGAGCCCCCTCGCTACCACACGCACACACACGCTAGCCACCAAATGCACCGAATTCCAAGTTGAGCCCGGGCGACCGGTTGACCTTTTGGGGGAAAATCGACTGACCATTTGTGGAAAAAAGTTTTTGACCAATTACCCTCAATTCAAAACAGGAAAAAAGTTAAAGGCACAATCTCCAACCTTCTTGCCGTCATCGCCGAGTCCACGTCGCCTTTTTGAAGCTCCAGCCTTCGCCTTGGCGAGCGCCCTTTGCAGCCGCACCACTTGCCCACCTATTTGTCGTTGCTCAGAGCACAACGAGGTGACTATGTAGTTTTCTGTCTGTCTTTCAACAATTCCCTGTAAAAATTTTGCGATAAGGTTGGTACGTCTTTATTATCCGTTGTGGATGCTATAGGAGAAGAAAGGAAGCACCTAGCCGCTTTCAAAGGAAAGATAATGTTAGAATTGCGCTAGTTCGTATCAAGGTAGTAGGTAGTAAAGAATAGACAAGATAAGCCAATGAGGAAGGGGGGACAGGAATATCTCTTGGGGAAGGATAGGGTAAGTAAGTCTGGCTGGGAAACCGTCGATCAGAAGAACCCGTATGAGAGGAGAATACATCGGTGGAAAGCGTGTTGAACTGAATGATAGGAGCATGAGAATAGAATTCTTAAATGTGTATAAGGAGGACGAAAAGCTAAAACCCTTTTCTGGCGCATTAAAAGAATCACCGGCGAATGGCTGACACACTCGTAGGAAGAAATATTTCGAAAGAATCGAAAAACGGTAATAAGGCAAGTATATTTGGACTATCACAGGAACGTGAGATTTGGTGGAAAGGGGGAGGGTGGGGGAGCATCATCTGCGAATCGTGAAAATCAGCATGCCAGCGGCTCGACCAGGGACGTGCTGACAGATTCTAGGCAATGCGCGTTGTCGAGGGCGGCAGCTTCGAGCTCGGGCAGCATGGCGGTCAGATCGCTAAAAATTTCAAGATTACAAACTAAACATGTCCATTGTAAACAAAAAAATCGAATGCCGATTTTTGCCAGCAAATTTATAAACTCTCACTTGTCCCGCTCGTCCATATCGCTGTGCGTCATCGAAGCCGTCGGCAAGCTGGAGTCGACGGCACTGTCCGTCTCTCCATGCTCTTTACGCTTGCGACGTCGCCGTCGCTTCGCCGATGTTGTCGGGCCCGAGCCGGCCGTTGTCGACGAGTTGGATGCTAAACAGTTTTGTATTTGAAAAGCAAGCTCTCTCACCTGGCGGCGGGGTCTTTCTAAGGGCCTCAACTTGCAACTCTTGCATCTTGAGCTCGACTATCCGATTGACGTCATCCAGGGTCAGTTGCACTTTCGGAGCCGCTTGGGACCGGAAGCACCACTAAAATATAATTTTCATAGCAAATTAATAATAGCACTCACAATATCCTATGAACAAATTAGAAATTTTTATGGAAAAGCTAGTTTGCAAAAAAAGTTTTTTTAATTTTAAAGTGATTTTACCTGAATCGCTGCCACGATGAAAACGGTCAGCACCTGGACGCCCACGACAACATAGACGACTTGTTCTGTCTAAAAAACGTGATAAAAACAGGGAGGACATAATCTTCATTAAAATAAAAAAATAGTGTCTGTGTGTGTGTGTGTGTGTGCCACTTTGCATCCACTTCCGTATCGTTGTTCCAGGCGTATCTCTATAGGGGAAGAAGTTAGGATTGGGTACGATACGTCGTTATCTGCGTAATGGTCTAGGGATGACTGCCCACATATCAGATTTATAAAAATCAGCCATTTTCGATATTAAATTTAAGTTTTTGTAAAGTATCCTTCGCTAGGAAAAATTAGCATTGACCGGAAGTAGGAAGTCGCCTATATAAAGGGCCACAAGCGAACCATTTTCCTTTTTTTGGTCATCTGAATTCAGCGCAATTATGCAAAGCGTAGAACAGCATGCGGTCCAAGGCGAGGCCAGGGTTGAAAAGTCGCGAAGCGGCTTTTCAACCCTGGTCTTCATTAAAAATTTCCAAAAACACACCGTCCACACCCCATCACGGCTTCCGATGTCGTAATATTGGCCATGGAGCATCACATCATCGTCATCCGCCTCCTCCGAGTCGCAATGGTCTTCAGCTTCTTCCTTGTACCCGCGATAGGCTAGCCTAAAAAAGTTTTTTTTCAGAATTGGCAACCAAACCTTAATTGCAAATGGGCGCTCTCCTGGCGCACAGTCTTCAGGAATTTCGCCAGCTCATCTACCTCGCGGCGCATCGTCTCAAGTTGAACGTTTAGGGTCTTGTTGATGTGCGTGGTGGCGTTGATTACGGCCTCGTCGGCAATCCGCTTTGCCTAAATCAGATTACTAGAAAACCACGGAAACTCCTACCCGAACAATGTTCTTCTCCTGTGCTTCAGACTGCGCCACGTACTGCCGGCTGAGTTCGGAGAGATATTCGGATGAGAGTGACATGTTCAACTCCAACGCGGCGATGCGCTTGTTCAACTTGATGAAGACGGATTCCTAAAAAAATGAAAAATTAGGAATCGTGGTGTAAAGAAGGGCTGGCAAGAGCCAAATTGGACTAACTACCAAAAGGCTTACTTTGTGCGTCAGCGATGAAGCCGGCAGCGACTCGGGGACGGGCTCCTTGATCGGGGCTGTCGTAACTTGGGCCGTAGTGGTAGAGGCCGTGAAGGAAGTCGCTGGTTGATCTCCGGTAGCAGCGACGGGCTTCTCGGCCTGCTTGAGCTCGATGGGCTTCGGTGGTGGTGGCGGGCTTTCCATCGGCTTTTCCGGGATTCCCGTTGCCGGTTCCGGAGCTGGCGGCGCTTCTTTGGCCTGCTCGACGGCTTTGATCGGCTCCTGCGAAGACGGCGTCGTCTCCACGGAAATGGCCGGCGTCTGCTCGAACTGAGGCGGAGCTACGTGGGCCAATGTGAGGAAGAAGCGCTGCAGAAAGGAGAACCGCAGCCGCCGATAGCGTCGGCGCGTCCCGAGTGTGTCCAGGAACTTGCGGTTGGGCACCGCGGGCTTGGGAACCGGCCTGGAAATGTAGTTTTACATTGGTTTTCAGATATGATCTTTCTTGATGAAAACAAAATTTCTAGCTACTCACCGAGTTTTGATGATCAAGCCAGCGACCTCGCAAAAACGCTTTGAATGCGCCGACAAGGTTCGATTCTTCTGGACGGCGCAAACGTTGCAGATGAAGTACCAGCCCGGTGAGTTGAACTTGCTGAAAAAAATATTATTTATTTTGAAAGGAAAAGCTCTTACATCTCCTTTTTCGTGCCGAACGACCAGACGTTGACAATCTTCCTTAGCAGGTTTCTTGGCGTCAACTGCGACTCGTTGCTTGGGTCGGCCAATGAAGACTTCTTCGGTAGTTCAATGGTGCTGTCATCGAGCTTCGGCTTGATCAGTTCAGGCGTCGGTGGGATCTGGGCGGGAGGTTGGGGCGGCTTCTGAAAGGAAGGTTTCAACGAAAACTGGATTCAGCCAATTAGCAACCAAAATGCGAAATCAAGCAAGGCGACGTCCCAACGAAAAACCAATTTACCTGCGTGATCTCCTTCTGCACTTCCACCACGGCCGGCGGCACTGGTTGTGTAGCAGTGGCCGTATTGGCAGCGCTGCCGATGCGCCCTGCAGCGATCTCAGCCTCGGCCTCATACTCCTCCACAATCGACATCCCGAGGACGCGCAACATTGTCAGGGTGCAGTAGTGTTCCTTGCCGTAGTGGGATAGAAGTTCGACCTAAAAGTGCCAATAAAAACCACAAAAAACGAAAGTACCTTTAGAAACTTTGCATAAAGCCCCATCTTGGTCACGCGAAACGTTTGCAGAAATCGCGAATCTTGCGCTTCGATCTAGAAAAACGTCATGACGTGATTTTTAACATAATCCTTCAAAAAAAGTTAAATTTTTCAGAAACTACCTCCAACACCGTCGACCACTCGTTTGCCGGGAACTTTTCAGCAGCTGACACGCGGATGGCCTTCGGGCCCGAGGAGAACAGCTCGTAGTTGCCGAGCTCGATTGTATGGGGCTAAAAAAAATTTTATTGTCGCAACTATTATTTTTACCTGTATGGTCTCACACAGCTCGATGACGATGAACTTCTCGCTGATGTCGCACGGGCTGCGCATGTACTCGTCTTTTTCCTGCAAGGTAATAAATCCAATTTCTAAAAAATCGCAGCGTACTTTGTCATTGAGCAACGCCTTCGTGTTCTCCGCGCCGGCATTCGCCGTTATTATCTTGGCACCACATTCGCGGGAAGCATAGTTGCGCGTAGCCGCCGAGCCTTCATTTTTGACGTGCGGCTGCGGGGCCCCGTTGACGACGGGTTGGACGCTGGCAAGCTGCTCGTTGCGCTTCAGTTCTTGCTTCAGTTTCTCCTTCGTCCACTCGTCAAAAGTGGCAATCTGGGGTTTCGGCTCGTCGGAAGGAGGAGGTTTTGCCTAAAAATTGTTCTATCAAATTGAAGAGCTGGATAAAACGTCATTTATGGATTTTCTCAGAAAACCAACATGGCCATCAGCTTCTTCCACTCGCTTGTCTTGTGAATTTGCATCGCTGGCCGGCTGGGCAACTTGTTCCGAGTGGTCAAGCACCGCTTTCGAGCTGCCGATGGTGGTGGGGTTGATGGCATGATTGGTGAGCGGGTCGAGCGGGCAAACGGTTGGCGGGGGCCTGAAATGTACGTGTAAAGAATGTACAAACTGTTGTTCTCCTTGATTTATTGACTATACCCACTTTCGAGGCCAAGCCGAAAGTACTTTCCAGCGCACCCAAGTGATTTCCTTGTTTTTAGTTCTCACCCGAATTTCTGCCAGTTTCTTGATCCGATTGCTAGTTTCGGGATCATGGGACGTGTGTGCCCCCGTTTTTATGTTCATTTGCCGGGAAAAGAACGGGACCGCGACAGGGGGCAGCTGCCATCCGACACCGCTAGCCAAGGTCGGGGAAAAAGGGGGATAGCCCTTGGTTGATTGCAGCAACAAAAACAGCCAGCCCCCAAGAAACCTTTCAAAGCTTGCGAAAAATTAGTGAACATCCCCAAATTCCTCGGCCCCATGCCACCGACCGCCAGACCTCTATTTTCACGGAGGATCATATGGTTGAGGGCAGGGGCGTAGCCAGAAAAAAAATTTCGGGGGGGGGGCCCCCAAAAAATTTTTCCAAAAAACTCAAAACATTACCGAAAAAACAGCGCCGCAGGCAAAAATTTTTGAAAAAAAGGTTGCATAGCTCAACAAATAGCCGTAAAAACGTGAAAAAATGGCGCCGCAGGCAGCAAAATTTTTGAGAAAATAAAAATCATAAGGGTCCCCCCTTATGAAATTTTCGGGCCCCGGCGGATTTCGGGGGGGGGGGGGCCGGGCCCCCCGGGGCCTGTATTACGCTACGTCCCTGGTTGAGGGCCATTATTTGCCCAGTTCCGATGTGCCAGCGAAGTATCCCGGCAAAAAAACGCCCGGTATTTGCCATGGCTGGCCGGAAATTCGCGACCCTCGGTGATCACGGGGGCTTGTGTAAAAAATGAGCCAAATGAACTTCCGAGATCCGGGAACAGGTCCAGAAATTTTAAAACATGGTTTTTGTATTTAAAGCCACCCACAGAGTTTTCGAACCACTTTTGAGCACGAAGCTTTAAAATCCAAAATAGACCCGCTGGTCATCCAGATGATTGGCACTGGCCCAGGCCGGAAGGGGCGATTTAACTGATAACCCTGGGTCGGCTCGGAAGTCATGGGTTTATTCACAGACGCCCTATCGTGTGACCGCGGTGGCTGGCGTCAAAGATGACGGGAAATGTGGTGGCCGAACCGAACTTTGCAAAAAGAGAGCCCACATCGATCAGGGAAACAAAAAGTTTACGGGAGGGGATTTCCTGCTCAGCACCCTACCCTCCTTCTTTCACAGAAAAAGTTTTCAGATAAAGAAACACACCTATCCCCCGCCAGCAGGGCTAGCAAATTTAGGAAGGCCAACAGTAAGTGGCATAATTTTGAGACGGGCCCATCCATTCAGTCATCCGCAAAATAAGTAGCAATTTCAGAGAGTGGTGGTGTTAGAAGTCGCTGGATTCCAGTCGACTTTCTAGGCAGAAATTTGGCTGTAAATTACAATAAAATTAGAAATCGCGAATTTTCTGTCAGTTGAATAGAAAGTAAATATTTTAGCTCGGGATCCCGCTCGAAAAAAATCTTTGATTAGGATAACAATAACAGCGGGCCACGTGGACGAGGGGGTGCGAATATTTTTCGCGTGGAAAGTCGCGGGGGGGGCGCCGATGTGAGGCGGGCAGAGGCGGAGCACGAGACGGCTGGAGAAAGCGGTTCCTCCAACCAGGCCCCCACTCGCAGATAGAAAGACAACCAACAGGGAAATGGCAAACTGAGCCAGCGGGCTGCCTCCCGCCGCGAAATTATTATTCATGAGGGTTTTGGGGGTATTATTGCATTTTGCTATTGTAGGCGGATGAGCGGCTGGCTCGAACAAAATGGTTTTGGTAAAACCAGGTGCGAAATGTTACAAAAACCGCCTTCCTATGAGGATAATAGAAGCGGGGTTCTCCAACGCCTACGTGACTCTACGTTACGTTGCGCTCCTAATATAAAGACCATCAAAAGCTAGCGTCTTCCTGCTACAAGAATGTTTTGGTGAATAGTTCCCGGCGCGTCTAAACCCTGCTAGTCATGCCTTTCCCAAAAATTTCTAGAAAATGCAAAATCCACCCGGCCCGAAAAATGAGAGACCGAGACAGGACTTTTTAGAAATACATGGCTCGACTTATCCCCCAAATCTAATGAATCTCATCAGCTTCCCCAAGCCTTAGAGCTCCCAACCAGTTTCTGGTCAGCAGCCATTTTTGTATTGGTTGCCGAGGGCTGGGTTCAGGATCCGGTTGGCGCGACCAAGCACCACCAAAAGGCTTATCCATCTCGGATCTTCCCCACCAATGCCTTCGCCCATTCCTTTTCAGAAAGCGTTGAACATCATTGGAAAAAATGGTAATTAGACGAAAAACCATTAGCTCCCCCCCCCCCAAGCCACTTTTATAAAAAAGGTTTTAAAACTAAAAAAAGGCCTAATTCTCATTTCTTAACATATTTTTCTAGCCGGACTGAGGGATTTCATAGGAGTTCTGTGACCATGCATTCGATAAAAATAGCCGCCTAATCCACGTCTCTTTGTCAAAATTCCAACATATTCAAAAATATTGCGGACGTATTGTCCCCTTTATTGCCTTTCGGGCGTTCCTATTCTTGCCGCATCAAAAATGCAAAATCTAGCCATAATCCGCCCGTCTGTCCCCCGATCCGATTAAAAAAACGGCAACCGGTTCCACCCGCGTGGTCAACGTTTGACTAATTGCATCATGGGGAAGTGAAGTGACATGTATAGAAGCCGCGCGAAACTTCCAGTAAACCGACCTAGTAACAATGTCGATGAAGCGTCCCTGTGCATTGGATGTTGCGACTCCGGCGCAATAAAGTAGCAGAAAAATCAGGCTAAAAAAGAGCCATACAAGGTTTGACAGTTCTCGGTACTTATCAAGTTGGGGGGCACTTTGGTTTTCGATTTTTTTAGTCCTTCTAGGCTAGTTTTTTGTGCTGGTTTCGAATATAACAAAATCAGAGTAGTAAAATACACTTATCTAAACGTTTGTTAAGATTTAGAGATGCAGACACCCGGTATTAACCTAAAAATAAGGCTTCGTGCCACCCGGGGCCTAGTCGCTTCGGATGGATGCGAGCTCGTACAGGGTTTCGAAATCGGGGCGCCCGAGGCGCGCGAAGCGGCCAGGCGCCCCGATTTCGAAAGAGTGGAGCGGCAGCCCATCCGAAGCGACGGCCCACCTTGCCTGACATGCGGTAAGCCTCAAATTTTGCGTAAGTACACTTTTATTAACAAATGTTTACGCGGTTTTTCTGGATAAACCCGAAGGTTTCGCATGCTGTGGCTACTCTCTATGCACTCAGCGTAAAAAACTACCCCAGATAGACTCGAAAAAGCGATAAAAAAGTGTCCCCTAATAAGTACCCAAAGTGGCCCCCCCCCCCCCCCAACTTGATAAGTACCCAGTTCTCTTTACCTGTACAATTCCCTCATTGCAAATTATCATAATCGAGCTGGACAACTGCTGTGCATCGCCAGGCGGAAGCCTGAAAAAAATCGAAAATTATGCGTCATCCGAAATGAGGACAAATGAAGCTGAACTAATATTAGTCAGGGGATTCCAGAGCCAGGCGAGAGGCTAGAAAAGTTTCTAAGGGATCTAGGAGAGGAAACGCACTATAACCCATAAAAAAAACGAAAAACCCAGCACTGTATTCCGATAAATCTAAATTGGTGGGAGGTAGACAATGGGGTATGTATATGCGGGTCAATAGACGGCAGCGCAGGTAGGAAAGGACACGAAAACAGATGAATTCTATTTGTTTAGACGATAGGATGGGGGGCGGGTTCGGGTGATTGCGGCATAAATAAGCCACGTCATCGTAAAAAAATTTGCTGATAGAAATAGAAATTAAGGCGCACACCTGGATGTGGTTTCAGAAGAGACATTATACCCAAAGTAATAAAATAGGGGGATGTTTCACCTGCCACTCATGAATTTCCATCGACGTAAAAGGTCTGTGATGTCCGAGAAATCGAAACGCCCTTATCAAGGTGGGAATGTGCAGCGGATGAACTTGGGAAAGCGCACGCGGTAAATTCTAGAATCTGGCAGGAATGTGCGTCATCACTAGTCAAAGCAACAAGCCCAAGATTAAAAAAAATACACTAGACTTCACAAAAACTTTTACGCTTACGCTGTTCTGCAACGTCAAACGTAGAACTGGCACTAAAGATTTTGACCATGTAAAAACCCGCTTACTGGTGTAATTGGTTAGATTCAGACCCTCAAAGACGACAACGCGCGGGTTTTTTAGCTCATAAATCTAAAATATCAATTGCCATCAAATGCAACGTGGTCGCGGGGGCGCGTTCGTCATTATTATGCCTTGTCGAAGCGCGGGGAACGGTGTCGAATTCCGATCCGTTGCCGGCAGGGGCAGAGGGCATGGCGATCAAGCTCAACCGGAAGAGACAGCTTACAAAACGGCGAGAAAAAGAGACACCGGCACGCGCCAGATCGATCCCATAAAGCCTCGCTACGCGGCCATACAAGCTCCACGCTGGTCGTGTGCTCACGAGCGAATCGTGGACTTTTTGCTATGAAATTCGGCAAGTTTGATCATATTTCACAGCGGCCCGGCTCCTAATAAAACGTTCGGTAGTTTTGGGAAGGAGGGAAGACCGCAACGCGTGCGATCGACGCGTCGCGCAATTGCGAAAGCAGGCCTGCGCAGCTAAAAACCGGTTGCTATTCCGCGCACCTGCGAAAAACACGTACAGTACGCCCTTTCCCTTGAACCATCCGGACCGAACCCATGGGCGGTTGTGATTTGCAAGAAATTTCTCAAATTTTTAGCTAAAACGCGCGTTTTTGCACGAAAATTTCAGTTAAGCCAGTGTACGACTTAAAACCTTCAATTTGAGACCAGACGACCCTCCGTACCTTTCTTCTTGACATCCTCAAGCAACTGCTCGATTTCAAAACTTTATTAAAGATTCTGCTTTTTTAGGTCCATGATCACAGCTCCATCAACCTCGCTGCTTCGAATAGGAGCAGCAGGCCAGCTGCTGAATGTCCGCGGGATGGGCAGAAGACAGCCGAAACAAGGAAAACCGCCGATTTTGCCGCCCAGCAAGAAGGTAGGATTTTGAAATGACAATATTCGGACTCGCATTGCGCTTTCTGAATTCGTAAAATCCTATTTCTGAAGGTACTCTACCACGTGGTGAATCCAGAGTGGGAGAAGCCGGAACACGTCAAGGAACTACTGTGGCGACGGTTTGCGTACAACAACGGAGTCAATTCGCTGCGAATCTTGTTCAAGCAAGAGGCTTCATCGAAGATTTCCACCGGCCAAGGTCTTGCCTCTATGCGTGAAGAAGAAGAGAAAGAATTCAACATTCTCATCGCCGCTAATGAGGAACGGAATTTGAAGAAATCTAAAGAGCGGGAAATTCGAAGCCTGGAAAAATGGAACACCACGCGCCAGGAGATGATGGACGAGATCTCATCGACGCTCACTGAACAAGAGAAGCAGGCTAAATGGGCCGAAGAGCGGGTCCGGGAGGCGATTCGGGACAGCAAGGACTACGTGAATAAAGAGAACTTGGAAGAGAAAATCAAGGCGGCACTCGAGTCACCGAAGATCTACGACTTTGCTATTGATAAAACGGGCGGGAAGTTGGAGAATCCTGCTCCGGTCAAGTATCAAGAAGGCACGCCAACGATTCAGAAGGGCCGATTGTACGACAGAAGCCTGGGGCAAGAAGCGATATAGATTCTGTATTTATTTCGGGTCTGTCCATTTTTGGAATGTTTTTGTTTTCGGCCTCTATCCTATTTCGTGATTTGGGTAATCCATCGCCTAAATAACGTCGCTTTTTCTCTTTATCAATCATCCTGGATTTTCACTGTTTTGCCGAATGTTCTGTTCACCATGGCTCAATTATGCGTTGTTTGTTTCTTTGTTATTCCCGTTACACGCGTTCTCCCGTTCATCTCAGTCTTGTATTTAGCGACTAGAATAGTGATAGAAAAAATAAAAATTTCAGGCGGCGTATGGTGAAGCAGATCAACATCAAGTACCGGCCACTCGACTACGTATGGCTGGGCGTTGATCGCGCCATCCTCACCTGTGCCAACTTTTTCGCGAAGCTCGTTGGGAAGTCGACTTTTCAATTTTTGGTCAGTCTGTGTTTAGAGGTGCCAATCGTAAATTTAGATTGACACTGGCCTGATCAACGCGTCTTCTCTGCGACGACTACGAGAATGTATTGAAGCGGCAAAAGACGGTGACAAGACCGGAGAAGAGCTAGAAAGGGAGCTTCATCTTGAGGTGAGAGCGTTTTTAGTTATCTTTTGATCGGGATTCTAGGATGATTCTTCAAAATACGTGCTTCACTACTTGACAACAGCCGATGAGAAGTATGAAGCCGTTTTAGCAGAGGTATTTTTGGTGTTGAGGGTCTTACACGTATTTTGCCTAGATCGAGCGCCTCGCATCCATGAAAGTTGAGCGCGACGACCCAGAAATGAGAGCAGACTTGGACGAGCTCTGGAAATTGCCGGCTGAGTACACGTTCGACCCTCCGGGTGACTGGACACTGATTGGATTTCAGGTAATTTTCATCACGCTATCGATACAGGCAAAATGAAATGGAAATATTCACCAGATTTGAAGTTATAGATTGTGATAGAGATGAGGTTATCACAGATTGTTTTTTAGCGATCCAACGATCCCACCACTGATTTTCGCTCGACCGGCAGCCTCGGCCTCGCCCAGATGCTCTTCTTCGTCAAGTACCATCGCATCGTATTGGACCACGAGGTTGCCTGGCCCGAAGCCCTGCCATTTGCACTGACTTCAATACACATCACAGCTTTTCTGATGGCTTTGATGAAGGTTCGTTTTCTCTTATTTGACTATTTTCGACACTGTTTTTAGGAACAAGTTCTCCGCGATCACTTCTATGCCGGCAACGAGCTTCCATCGCTAGAGGGGTTTAACAAGATTCACTGTAAGACCCATTTTTCTCAAATAGCAAAAAATTTTTTCAGGCCGATTACTTTGGCTGATGTCCGTTTACTGGGGCAAACAGGGCGCCGAATCAATCATGCAGTTCGAGCACCATTTCAAGGTAGTTGAACGATCATTTTCAGACAATTATTTGCTTTTCAGGCCTTCCAGAACGGCGTCGTTCGCCTGCTGCATTTCCGTCAGAAAAGCCTACACGAGATTACCGTTGAAGAAATTGTTTCCGCTTAAACCCCCTGTAATTTTTGCCGTTTAAAATCTTAAAAACGATTATCACCTTTAACCTTTGCGTTGTCACTTTACAGCTAATGTGTGTGCTTTGTATATAATTTCGCCCTTACTAGATTACTGACTTGCTTTCTTTCATCACGATCAGTCGATTCAGAACGGGTTCAGCCATTCTTTCGCCCCCGGTTTGATGTGCACAAACATTAATTCTCCATTACTTGTGATTCCCCCCGGTTCAGCATGTATGTGATTAGTCTCTGCGGATAGTCTTTTTCAATACAGTATTTGCAGCAAATCGCGAAGTACAACCAGCTGTCACGCCACTATCTTCTAAAGAAAGCTGTCAATTTCCGGTGGTCGAACGATTCCCACCGACTCATCGAAATCTCGGTCCCCGGCCAACAAACGGCGATCAAAATCGGCTCGTTGCAAGATTAGGGCAAGGCCGGGGCTGTGTGTCCTTAGCCGGTTTCGACCTCCGTAACACCTTGCGATGTCTCATTCGCGGGAGAACGACGCTGTCGGCGTGCCGGCCCCACGGGGTTGATGAGCGTGCGAAGGAGATTTTGAAATGTTTGTTGTTTTGGGCAGGTTTGGGAATTCCGATCAAGACTAGAATGCCGTGTGCGTTAAATTTAAGCTGAACGAAGAAGTTTGCTTTGCAAGTAAACTAAAGAGTTTCTAAAACACTTGAACGTAGGGGTTTTTGATTGTCAGCAACTATCTTGCCCTTTTCCGCTGCTAAAATCCTTTTTTATTGAAAAAAATCCGGCAAGCTGATGCTGACTGGGCGCGTGTCTGTCCTTCTGTTTGCAAGTCTGGTCGGTGAGCACCAAGGCTGGCACCATCGTCCCCGGATCGGCGAACGGTTGAGGGTGAAAGGCGCGATTTCAGATCTCACTCGAATCCTAAACTGACACTCCAAGCCTAGCCCATCCACCCTCGCAAAAGTAATTCGGTCAAAAGGGCAATTCCGGGGTTTGGTGGTCACCTGGAGATTTTTGAATTTTTCGTCGAAGAAGGATTGGTGGCCTCAGTAATTGGTGTTTGAGAAGCATGCGTTCAAAGGTTGAGTTTCCTTCACGAGAATGCTCTGGCTCAGCCATAACCAAATGTTTCATAGCCGATTGGTGAAGTGGCCCATGGACTTTGCGATGTTGACTTTCGCAAGTCAAAAGGGATCGTTCAAAAATGAAGTACGTTTGACGCCGTCACGATACTCTTGAAGCTGAAATTTCGGGCTGAGTGAAGCGTTGTAGGCACGCAACAGCTTTTCCATTTCCAAAAAAAGGTGATGCTTGTTTCCCAGGATAAACTGAACGTCAAAAATCAGATTCGTAGGCTAGACAAGGTTGATTTTTGCCTATGTTTTGCAGATTTCAGGTATTTTTTTTCTAGGTTCTGGCCCGGGCAGGTGAGTTAAAAAACCACCGTACTCTTTACTACACATATAGACCAAAGCCGTTACACATGCGTCCTCAATTGGAGTACGCTACGCTACTAAGCTACGCCGTACGGTCGAAGCTTCTGCGCACGTAACAACTTTTCCATTTCCAGAAAAGTTTCTCGCGATAAACTGAACGCCGTAGATAAAGATTCGCCAGATAGACAAGCTTTTGAGGCAGATTTTTGTCAATTTTTTTGCAGATTTCGGGTTCTCTCCGGCAGGTGAATTCAAAAACCCACCGTACCCCTCCGGGCCCACAGGTGCGCAATCGGAGCAAGATGTGGTGTGGTGGCCGTGGTGCCGGGCTCGTCCCCGTGCGTCCGTTTCGAGGTGAAAGGGCCGGGATCCGGTGCTGACACGCTTTCCCCTCCATCCACCGCCCTCTCGATCGCCGGGGGACTCTACCGGAGCTGCTGTGTGCTTGGCGCGCAGCGCACTTTCCCTCGCTTTGCCCCCTATTTCGCGTGCCCCCCATCCCTCGGCTTGACCCTGTGCCCCTATTTCGGAGCGATGCGAGCGGAAGAGAGATCGAGAAGCGGGGAGACTGTGGGATTGGAAAGGGGGTTGTCCGTTTCAAGGTCATACCCGGAATGTTGGTCAAATCCTCGACCCCTCCCATTCACCCTCGCGGCTCTTACTTCTTCTTCTTTTCTTCTCCTCCTGCAGCAGCTTTCGCTGGTTGAGTTATCGCCCCTGAAAAGCAGGGCCTGGGTTTTACTTTCATAACTGCTTTTCCGGTGGTTTCAAGGGACTGGGAAGCTCAAAACCACCCTTGCCTATCCACGCGTTAAGGTAAATCCTTCGAGCTTTGACTCGAGGCTTATCGAGCTGTTTAATTTTTGGTTCACTAGTTTACTCCTGAGTTTGATAGAGAATTCGACAAATTTTAAAACTCTTAAAAACTTTTTATACGGACTGGAACCCAAATCTGGCCGCTCTATTCAACGAAACATTAACGAAAGCCTGACGTTTTCAAGTTTTAGTTTCCAAGGGCCCGAAACTACCTTCTAAACCATCTGTATTCTGTGTTTTTTGAATTTCCCGTAACCGCATACGGAGCAGACAGTTCTGTACCTACTACAGAATTTGCAGAACTTAAGGCGAATGTAAGGGAATTTATCTCCAATGATTTCGAAATTGACAGAAAAAGGCGTGGTTACGGTAAAATTGAATTTTGTTGCAATTTGGAATTTTTTAGAAATTTTTTAAAAAGGATTTTTGCTGCGATTTTATAATTTCCGAACAGCTAATTCGAAGCTACCTGCTGCTTGGCTTCGTGTTTTGCAAACTTGAGAAACGAGAGAGTTTGAGAAACCGAAAACTGTAGAATTCGAACAGCCCCTTTTCGAACGCTACCGTACTCCCCATACCGTTCTCTCTCTCTCTCTCTCTCTCTCTCTCTCTCTCTCTTTGTCTCTCGCTCTTTCCCTTGTCCGTTTCAAGGCCATACCCGGAATGTTGGTCAAATCCCCCCGTTTGCTGCTCTTCTTCACCCGTACTTTCGCTTGCTGACCCTGAATACACAGATCCGGGGTGAGGAGCAGGACCTTCACCCACTCTTTCACACCATCCCCCTCCCTACAGCCCCTCACTAGGCCAGGGACAATTCCATTTACAAGCCGTGTACCCGGGGGGAGGAGGGTTTTTTTTTGGACTTGAGGACACTTCAAAATGCTTTCTCCCTGGAATTTTGTGCTTGTTTTTTGCTGATTTTGCCTTTGTGGATACCGTAGTTCCAGGTTTAGAGTCCATGGAAGACTAGCAATTGCAAAAAAATGAAAATGGTGACCAAAGCGACAAGCTATAAAATAAGTTGAGCAAACTTATTTAATAGGCTATAAACTCGTTTTTGTAAGAAAAAAAATTTTTAGGCCGTTTTGCCTGTACTGCTTGATGCTTTTCGTCCCGATGCCTCGGTTTGAAAGGGACCAGGAAGCCACAGATTTGACCCTTCTGTAGTACTAGGTGTCGTCGACAGCTACGCGACACGCCTAATCCCACGTTGTAACTAATTTTATTTAATTCTACCAGGTAGCAACGGCAAAAATAATATTCCATTCTTGCAATTTTGAAGCTTACTCTTCGTACCTTTTGAGACCTAGCCGCAAGAATCGTCGATTCTGAGAATTCTCGACCCCTTTAATGACACAACCCCCCGTTTTTCCAGTTTATCCGCTTCTCCGTGTTCATAATTTTCGGTGCCAGGGACACGGGATTGACCTTTCCTCTTCTTGGTTCCATTGGAGAGTCCGGTTCGGGATTGACCCCTTTTTATGGGTTCGGCTTGAGCTTCGTCGTCCCCTTCTCCACCTCCTCCACCTCCTCCATACACTGAAGCGGGCGGGTGTTCGTGCTCGATTTGAGGTCTCGGCTTTGCTGTTGTTATTACTACCGTGTTATCTTTTTTATCGTTTCTGTTTCTCTTAAATATTGCAGTGGAAATTATCAGATTATTAAATTTGTGATTTCATTTATTCTCTAAAAACCTAAATTTTGTTAACCTAAAGGCGTTTGCTTTGACGCTCTTTTGGATGCTATTAGCATTTACTGCTTATACATATAATTTTACCAAATTTATTAAATTACGCGGCCAACCCCAGATACCCCAAGCCGACGTCACTCTAATGTATCTCGGCTACTTTTCGACCTACAGGGCTGTAAGGTCTATCAAAATCCTCGCATGGTCAAGACGAGCATTTTGATATACTTTACACGTCTGTAGGATCAAGGACGGCCGAGATACAAAAGATGGGGTCCGGCTGAAGGACTCAAGTGGGTTTAAGTAGTAGGCGGGTTTTTACGCATAAATATAATAGAAAACTCTCTTTTTGAGCGTAAAAAGTATCGCGACGTAGCAAAACCTAAGGAAAGAAATCTTTTAGGTCTTAGCTTCCGATTCAACCCCCTACCTAAAGTTTCCAACCGGGAAATCGGTTGTCGTGTCATAAATGGCTAAATAATGTTCTGATCGCGATCTTTTGGCCCGACACATCGGGTAGCATTCCCTACCGTACCCCGAGTACATAGCAACTTATTTTTGAGCCCAGTTCCGACTACTGGCCCGCTGTTTTGAATGCTACTGGGCAATGTACCGGCAGCTGGTGGAGACGGCCATCAGACAGTTTTGTCAGGTGCATCCCATGGATACATTTGGCCCCACCCATCCCTTATTGACTCCGCTGTCTGTAGCCTAAAGGGATCCCTGAAATTGGCCCAGTGTTGTTGAAATTTTATATTTCTAAACCTAGCTTGTACGCACTTCCTCTCTCTCTCTCTCTCTCTCTCTCTCTCTCTCTCTCTCTCTCTCTCTCCCTCTCGCTCTTTCTCTCTCTTTGTCTTTCTATCTCTCTTTGTCTTTCTATCTCTCTTTGTCTTTCTATCTCTCTCTCTGCCCGTCTATATAACGTCTCTCCTCAGCCCAAGCCTAAGCCTAGGCTTGAAAACAAGCCTGAACACATGTCTCGGCTAAAAGCCTGAGCCTAAGCCACAGCTTCAGCTCCAGTCTAAGCCTAAGCCTATGCCCAGGCCCAAGCCTAAGCCTGACCTTAAGCCAAGCCTAAGCCTAAACCTCAGAAGCCCGGCCTACCTCTAGGTACTGCGTACCTACCATTTACCAATGCCCCATTTTTTTGCCACTTTTTTCATGTCTTCTCCGCATTCTAGTTCTTTGATCCCATTCTTCATTTTTTTTTGGCTGAATCGCCCCCATAAAATTTAAAATTCTAGCCTACAGCCCTTGCTTGTAGGCTAAATCTTTTTTCCGCTTTGAGGTTAAAAATTTCTGCCGTCCACGCCATTCCAATTTGCGTAGTCACCTGCTCTCTGGCGAAGGTCGTCTGCGCAATTGCAGAGCTCGGCTTCACCTGCGACGGCTGAATAAGTACTCAAAATTTGGAATGGGGAGTCAGTTTTTGGGTGTTGCTCTTTCGACCATTCGCGTTTAATGAATGCTTTCAGCTTTTTCTCTTTTCGGGTCTGGGCTTTGGGTCTTCTTGATTGCATTTTCCGATTGATTTCAGTGAATATTTTTTTGTAAAGTTGCAAATCTTATTAAAGTTCGATCCTTGATTTTAGGGGATGCTTGGGCAAGGCGCATCGAATCAGCCGGATGCGCCGGCGCCGACACTTCATCGGCCCGTCCCGATTCAACCGTTGCGGCCGGATTTGGGGTAAGATTTTGTGGAAACGAGAGAGAGAGAGGGGCGAGAGAGAGCGAGGGGGCGAGAGAGAGCGAGAAAGAGAGAGAAAGAGATAAAGCGAGAGTGAGAGGGTTCAATGAAACCGAAAGAGAATTCATAGGCGTTCACGTCTGCCTCGATTTTGCAGGAAAAAATGTCTCTCTATCTCTCTCTCTCTCTCTCTCTCTCTCTCTCTTTCTTGTCATAACCCATTCTCTAACGTTAATATGTAATCATAATCTGGATCTAAGATTGGCGATACACTACCTAAATAACTCCGTTCAGGCTCCACCCCATCTCCCCGGCCTCTTCCGGAATCGCCGACCCGTTCGGCCTCTATCGGCTCTACCTGGCCCACCTCCGGCCGTCCACCCTCAGCCACGTCTTCCCGAATCTTAGCTTGGCCTCCCAACTCAAAAACCAGCTCGCCCAGCAACAGGCCGCCACTTCTTCGCCCTCGACGACAGCAGCAAGTACACCGGTACCCAGGCTCGACTCTGAGAAGTTCTCGTGGATCGCTCAGTACCAGCATTCAAGCACGGACACGAGCCCGGTAAGTGCCGGTTTTTAAAAAATTTAAGTGCTAGAATCTGAGCAAAAATAATGTTTTTAGGCCCTTTCCACCCTCTCCTCCCCCGCCGAACCGTCGTTGTTCTCTGAACGCGCCCAAAACGACGCTGTCGAAACGGCAGACACTGTAGAAGATGACGAAACCTCGTCCTGTGGCATCTGCGGTGATCGCTCCTCCGGCCTCCACTACGGTATCTACACCTGCGAGGGGTCAGTTTTTGTAGTTGCTTGATTTTTGGCCTCCTTTCCTTTATCATATGTTTTCCATCCCCCCTAATTATCCACCCAAAAGACAGCTGAAATTTTTTTGAGCCCCTGTTCCCTACATATTATTGGCGTTCATGCTTTTTTTTGTTGAGACCACCCTCGTTTTGGATTCTAGGCTACAGGGGGGGTGAAGCCTTGAACTTTCCTTTAGTAAAAGCGTCGCAGAGGGATACGGTAGCTTTAAAAATGATAAAGAATGCCTGCTAATTTGCTATGCTTTAGAGCTTTCATATCATCTCAAATAACCTTCGCCGACTCCAAAGATTTCAGAGTATCGCTGCTAGTCTGCCTTGTCGCACTCTATCTCTCTCTCTCTCTCTCTCTCTCTCTCTCTCTCTCTCTCTCATTCTCTCACTCTATCTCTCTTTTTCCTCTCTCTCGTCTCTCTCTCTCTCTCATTCACTCTGTTTTTGCACTGACTTGGATTATCTAAACCTACATAATAGCAAGGCCTAATCTCTCTCGTTTGCTATCGCTCGCTTTTTCTGTCTCTCTCACCCGCTCTATCGGTCGCTCTCGTTCGCTCTATTGCTATATGCTTTCTCTCTCCTTACTTTCCGCTCAAGTTCCTTAGAACTAGAGATGTTTTTATTCACAAGGGAACCACAAGTTGGCACGGTGGAATTTCGAAAAACGCTAGCGGCTACCCCTAGGTTTTCGACGACGGCGATTCCAACGCGCTAGTCAGAATTAGCTAAATCGCCCTGTGGACAGAGATACAGCACTTCCGGAAAATGGGCAATTTACATTCGGAGGAATTAGCATTCACCTCAGGGTTTATGAGGGCTTCCCATCTCAGAAGAATCACCAGTTGAATGGCCGGGTGGTAAGCGGCTAGCTTGTTAGGATACTGACCAGGGTTCGAATCCGTTCACGACTTTTTTGTTTTGCGTTTTCGACGGAAGTTTCGATTTTTTTCACATAGTAAAGCTTTTATTCGTTGGTGATGAGGCCGATTCCTGCAAAAACATTGTGAAATTGCATCTTTCATGCGACGGCCCCATTCAAACGAACGTAGCTTTTAAGAAGCTTGTTGTTTTGCTCAAAGATCGCGTTGGAATCGCCGTCGTCGAAAACCTAGGGGTAGCCGCGAGCGTTTTTCGAAATTCCATCGTGCCAACTTGTGGTTCCCTTGTCAGATACGATATGGGAAATTTTGCATTTTAGGCGATTTGCATACCGTATCTAGATTGACGTCCGGGAAATCGAGATACGATTATCGCATCTAGGATCGGCGAGGCTCAATCCCAGATACGATATATCGGAATAACATTTGCATATCGGAACAAGCAGAAAATCCGTCATTCCCGTGAAGACTTGCTCCGTTCGGTCTGTCTGCATAAAAGAGCATAAGGTTAGGCGTTTCCGAGAAAAAATCTTTCGCTTTGCATCCATTTTCTCGCCTACCGAACGCCCTGATTTGCCTTAATCCGATATGCAAAAGTTATTCCGATAGTATCGTATCTCCGTGAGCCAGATTCCAATTCAGATACGATTATCTATATCGCGTCTAGGATTTTTGAATTCCGATGGCTTATTCAGATGCGATATATCTGGATGCATATCGTATCTGAATAAAAACATCTCTACTTAGAACTTCGCAGTTTTTGCAGTTTTTTTACACTTACAAGGAGTGGTTTTTTAGTGTCATTGGCAAATCCCTTCGCGACCAAGCTCATTCGATAGAGAATTGAATTCTGAACAACCTCCCGGTGTTCATTTTTGCAAAACGCCTTTCCCTGATTTTATAAATTTAAAAACTCTAAATGGAATTTTGGCCAAGCGTCGGTTCGCCGCCTCAAAATCATGCCTGGCCCGTTCTAGGGGAAGAGGCCTTCAGCGCGGCCCCCCTCAGCATCAGGCGTGGCGCAGTGGCTAACGCGGCTGTCTTCTGAATTTTATTTTTTCATCTTTTGCAAGTTCGGTACTTTCAGATGTCATTTGTTTTGCTTTTTGTATTATAAGTGGCCCCAATATTTTTAAACAGGTTGTACCTCCAATTTAGAGGACTCACACTAACCTGGATCATAATATTTGTGTTTTGTTGTAAATTCTCCTGGAAGCGCGCAGAGCAGCCAACGTTGTAATAAGTATTATTTTAAATCATTTACTTATCAAAGCGTCTGCAAACGCTTTTATTAACAAAAAGCAAAACAAATTTTCTAGCAAGGAACCGTACTTTCACACAGATGCAAAAAAACTTTGAAGGCGGAAGCCTTAACCACTAGGCCACGTCGCATGGTGAGACGGGGAGGCGGAGAGAGCTCAGGTCCTAGGGGAGATCTGTAGGCTGGCCACGCCAGACGGGGTACGTGAAATTCAATTTTTAGTTTTTTAATTTTATAAAATCAGGGAGAGCCGTTTTGCAAAAATGAACAACGTGGGGTTGTTCTGAATTCAATTCTCTATCGAATGAACTAGGTCGCTAAGGGATTTGCCAATGACACTCAAAAACCACTCCTTGTTAGGACCCTAACTGCAAAACCCCCAAATTCACGACACCCACAAATTTGCTAATGTTCCAATTCGTCCGAGTAGTGCTAGTTGGTGGCCGGGGAGATGACCTCGTGGCTGGCCCATGTTGGGGTAAAATTTTCAGCCCGGGTGGGAACACCCGGCCTCTCACACACACGCACACCCGAGTACGGAACTGACCTTTCAATGCCACTTGCCCGCGCGGTTGTCGCAAAATTTTCTCTCTGCCTCTCTCTCACTCACTCACTCGCTCTCTCGCCTTTTTAGGTTGCTCTGTCTGCAAATCGCATTTTTTCTAGCTGCCAAGGTCATGGTTTTTCAACCGGCGACTTGTGGCCCATAAAATGAGAATGATTTTTTCTGGGGTTAGGTTGTTTCAATACAAGTGGCTGAGAGGGTGAGAGAAAGAGGATGAGAGAGCGAGAAATATAGAGAGCGAAGAGAGAGAGAGTGAGAAGACAGAGCAAGAGGTAGAGAAAAACCTTACAGCTTTACGTGAAATATATGACCTGGAATTCCCAGTTTTTTTAACGAGTACGGCCTCTTGCTCGATTTGCTCCCTATCTCCCTCTCCCTCTCTCTCTCTCTCTCTCTCCACTTGTCTGTCCTTTTCTCTCTCTCTCGCTCTCAGGCTACAAATATGCATTGTTCCTCCTTTTTTCATCATCTTCCCATGTTGAGCACGAACGGCCAGACGAGCAGACAGTCACGACGACAAAAATTTCCCTCCACCCGCTTCCACGAACCCAGAAATGCGAACCTCTGGGTGTCTGCCGGGGGTTGTGAGAAAATTTTGGCGCGCCCACCCAAGCCAAGCCGCGCACATTTCCCTCCAATTTTTTTTGCCCTCTCGCCCGGGACAAAAACGCACTTGTCACCTTGTGGCGTCGCTTCCTTTTTTTTTTGTCTGCACCCGCCCTGAGGGGCCGGTGGGATGGTCAAGCTTTTTCTGGCGGCAGGTCATCGCTGGTCCTTTTCGCTTTTTTTTTGAAAAACGTTGTGCTTGAGTTGCAGGTAGGGTAATTGCAGTTGTGCACCCGTTTCCGAAACTTCGCTGAACGCCTCGGATCCTAATTCCGTTCATTTTATACATGGATATTTTGGTAACATCGTGCTGATGTGACAGCTCGGCCGCATCTCCTGAAGAAAGAACGTGTATCGGCTAGGCGAAGAAATTTAAATATCGAAACCCCAGTAAAAATTTCTGGAAAAATGAATTTCGATAAGTGCGCTTTGTTGTTTTTTTTTTAATTGGAATAAGTGAGCATCAATCCTAAGCCGAACCCGAAACCCAAGCCCAAGCCCCAGTCTAAGCCGAAGCCTAAACCTAAGCCTATACCTAAGCCTAAGCCATACCTAAGCCTAAGCCTAAGCATAAGCATAAGCATAAGCCCAACCCCTTCAATTCCTAAAGTTTCTCCAGTTTCTACCGTACCCCCATATTCACATAATCCTCTGTTTTAGTCGGCTATAGCCTGCCCTTTCCTACCGTAGTACCTTTTACCAACGCCGTGCCAGGCGAGCATAGCATCCTTTTTCACACCTTTTCAAGTAGCTAGTTATTCCTAGATTTTTGCTGTGGTATTCCCTACACTTTTATGCATTTATTCTAGGCTTTTTCGAAACAGCTACACCTTCAAAACATGTATCGCTTGCCAAGCTTGAGCCAGCTGGCTATTCGCTGCCTTTCCCTACCAGATTCGCCAAATTCCACCCCACAATGGTCCTCAAAAATTGAGCCCAGGCAGGCGAGAAAACGGTTTTCCCAAACCGCCGCCAAAAATTTTGGCCCGGGGCGCTGCGCAGGAGAAGCTCCGATTTTCATTGTTTTCCCTCCGGGAGGAGCACCAGCTACTCCCGCTTTTCCTCCTCCCCTCAATAAAGTCTAGGTGTGTGTGGGCTTTTGTGGCACATTGTTGAGAGTTTTGGGTGAGGAGAGGCCAGGATGGTCTGAATGTCTGTCCATCTTTCTGCTATTTTTCGCATCTCTCTCTCTCTATCTCTCTCTCTCTTTCTCTCTCTCTTGTTTTCTCTCACTCTCACTCTCTCGCCATTTTCCCAATTTGCCTACGCAAGGGCGCGAGTGTTTCTTCTTCCCTTTTTGGAGGTTTTGCTTTTTCCTTTTCCCGGCCTGCGCGCGCTTCCCATTTTCTGCATTGCTTTGTTGCCCTCTACAAAGAGTTGTCTGTTGGGGGTGCCCCACAACAACCTGTGGAATTTTTTTGGTCATTTTTTGTCTTTTTTTCATTGACAGGTTTTTATAGGCTTGCGAGTTATCGTAATTTGGCGCTAGGCAGTAATAGGTAGTATTGCATAAATCACAGCTCTCTCTCGTACGCTCTCGCTGGTTATCCATCGCTCCCTCCCTCTATCGTTCTCTCGTTCTCTAGGTCGCGCTCTCTTTTTCTCTCTCAGGCTCTTTTTCTCTATCCTAACGTTTCTCCCGCTGAAATAAGCGTCCATACACC